ACGCACACGCACACGCACACGCACACGCACACGCACACGCACACGCACACGCACACGCACACGCACACGCACACGCACACGCACACGCACACGCACACGCACACGCACACGCACACGCACACGCACACGCACACGCACACTCACACTCACACGCACACTCACACTCACACGCACACGCACACGCACACGCACACGCACACGCACACGCACACGCACACGCACACGCACACGCACACGCACACGCACACGCACACGCACACCGCACACGCACACGCACACGCACACGCACACGCACACGCACACGCACACGCACACGCACACGCACACGCACACGCACACGCACACGCACACGCACACGCACACGCACACGCATACGCACACGCACACGCACACGCACACGCACACGCACACGCACACGCACACGCACACGCACACGCACACGCACACGCACACACACACACACACACACACACACACACACACACACACACACACACACACACCGCACCGCACGCGCACGCGCACGCCGCGCCCTCCGAGCGCAAACACGGCACGCGCACGCGCACGCGCACCGCGCACGCACACGCATACGCACTAACGCACGCACACACACAACACAACACACCAACACACACACACCACACACAAACACGACCACACACCACACACACACACACAAACGCACACCACAACACACACACACCAACCCGGCCAATGCAACACCACACACGCACACCCACCCACGCACACACACACACACATACACACACATACACACATACACACACATACACACACATACACACATACACACACTACACACTACACACACACTACACTACACACACTACACACTACACACACACTACACACACTACACACTACACACACTACACACACTACACACTACACACACACACACACACGCTACACACTACACACTACACACACACACCTACACACACCTACACACACCTACACACACCTACACACACCTACACACACCCACACACCTTGCGGGAGCGGCGGCGGCCCCAACAACCAACGCGCTCCTCCCTGCCGGCGGCCCGCGCGGGGGCCGCTCCGCGCCGCGGGAGGCCCCGGGGGGAAGGCCCGGGACGTGGGCGCGCCGGGGCCGGCAAGCGGCTTTCGGTCGGGCACGTCCTCCTGCAGAGGGGTGGAAGGCGATACAGAAGGCATGCTCCAAGAATGCCCCCAAAGAGTCAAAAATGGTCAAAGCAAGCATGGTCCCCAGACCCTTTTGGGACAAGTTTGGGATATTCCTCCCGTAGAGGGACATGCCCGACTTACAAAGGAGTGCCTGCGCGTCGCGCCGCAGCGTGGTGGGCCAGAGCCGGCGCCGCCGACCGCATCGCCGTCGCCCTCCGACGAGTCGGGCACCCGACTCGCGCTCTTCGAGCAGGGACCGACCGTCCCGGCATTCCTATCGGGGATGGACAGACCTCCCTTTAGTAAAACGTGGTTTAGTGAAAACGACCTGAGGCCCAAACCTGGCGGGCGCAAGCCTGGAAAATAACGGCCACGGCGCCCTCTCGAAAACCGAAAACGGACAATTCACTAATCGACGTGTCACTGTTGGGGGTTCTGTCCACCCCCGATCAAATGGGACTACCGCGACATGTTCTCAGAACTAACAAATGTTGTGACCCATACCGAAAGCAATGCCCTTTGATCATGACACCGCTGTGTTGACGCAGGGCAGCCTCGGCCAGAAGTGCTCGAGGAGCATCTCGTGCCACCCGCGAGAAGACCTTCGAACATCCTCCCTGGTGGTCCTATGAGGCGAGCCCGGACGCCTCGCCCTCCTCGCGGCCCCCTTCGGCGCGCCTCCCGCCCCCCGCGCCTGCCGGCGCGCGCCCTCTGCCAGTGGCGAGGGCGACGCGGCCCGGCGGGGCGCAGAGGCCCGCCCGAAGGGTCCCGGGGGCACGCAAATAAAGCGGCACAGAACAGATCACAGGGTTCCCCCATATGTTCCTAGATGTTCTGGGCTTTCGTCTTCCCCCCCCACTTCCCATGTTTTCCCACATCTTCTGGGGAATCGACGATTCACTGTGTCTGTGCTTTTGTTCCCTCCTGACCGCTCCCCCCCCCCACCCCATCGGACGGGGCTAGAGGATTAGGTCGGGCGTGCCTCCTACAGGCGGATTTGGGAGGAAACATACAACATATCCAAACAAGTCCTCAAAAGTAGCCAAAGCATACGACAAAAAGCGTCCCCTTCTTATGTTTTGACTATTCGTTGATTTCCCCCCTGTAGAGTGACAGGCCCGATTTCACCATGGGACGAGGCCAAACCCGGCCCAGAGCATTCCGGCACGCTCTCAGAGCGTCCCGGAGCGCTCTGAGAAAACCGCGGCGCCCGATGCATCCTCTGGAGCCGCCGGCTCTCCGAGACCCTCGACTTATAGATCCCCGCCCGATGCTGTGTGGCCTCGTCCTGGCTCCGTCCTGCCCTCCCGCTTTCGCAGCGGCCCCGCTCCAGCATCGCGTTCCACTCCTCCAGGCTCGAAGGCCGGCGGCCTGCCGCGGGGCAGGGGGGGGGGGCCGGGCGCCCCCCCTCTCCCCAATCCCCTGCCTCGGCCTCGGGGCAGCTCTGAGCGGCGGGCGGGTCTGGAGCGGGCCGCGGCGCCCCTGCCCCTCCTCCTCCTCCTCCTCCTCCTCGTCCTCCTCCCTCGTCCTCCCCCTTATCCTTCTCCTCCTCCTCCTCCTCCTCCTCCTCCTCCTCTCCTCCTCCTTCCTCTTCCTTCCTCCTCCTCTCTTCCTCCTTCTCCTCCTCTCCTCCTTCTCGTCCTCCTCCTCCTCCTCCTCCTCCTCCTCCTCCTCCCCCTCCTCTTTCTCCTCCTCCTCCTGCTTCTCCTCCTCCTCTGCCTCCCCCTCCAACTCCTCGTTAGTTCGCTCGCGGCGTAAGGGCAGAGGGCGAAACCCCGATCACTGAAGGTGGACGGCACAAAGAAGCGGATGGGGGGACAGAGCGGCGGCGGCAGCAGAACCAGCAGCCAGCAGCTACGAATAATTGAAATCCTCGTGGGCAGTGTGCTGCCGCTTTAAAGTCCAGCGGAGACTGATCCTTCCACTGCCCTGCGGTCCTTCCCTGAACGGTACTACCAATGTATGGCGCGGTCAGCCCCCTCGGAGATTCAACAAGCGTAGCAGCAGGAGCAGCCTTATGGTCCCATCTCTAAAAAGGCACTCACACATTAGTGCGTCGTACACTAGCTCCTACCAAGTGAAACATCAGACCAGAGGTGAAGGCAACAGACACTGACTATTAATATTTACCCTGCATCCCCTCTGCCTGGCCTATTTTGTCGCATGCAATCCATACCCAACGTTTATGTGTCTAGATACGGGTCCAAGGGTACTTAGTAACGGCGTGATAGCGGTGGCATCCATTCGTCACATCTGTCGTGTAAATGGTACTCTTGTCGTAACCAAACTTCGTCATCACATGTCCGCACATGGCCACTGCCGGTCGGCACAAACGTTTTAGGCCTGCTCTGTGATTATGCCTCAGCAGTCACTGTCAACTCTGTCGGCCTTGACTGTTTGTCCCTGAGCCGTCTGTGGGGGATCGTGTTCGGCACAGTCGATCTCCCGAGGACCTCACAGAAGCCTTTGGGGTAAGCCTTAGCGTGCGCCGTGTTCGAGGTTCCCATCTGGTCCACCCCTTCAAAAGCAAGGTGTCCTTCTGGACGGCAGCGCAGGGCCCCTGGAGGCATCGCTTGCAAGACGTCCCGAAGAGCCTCAATGTGCACCCCCATGCGACAGGTGGGCTTCTTAGATGGCGCTCCGAAGGCACACTGATGGACGAGATGTTTGTCCACCCCTGGCTGTCTCAGCAGGTCTCTGGTGAAGTCAAGATACTACGAGCCCACGAGCTAAGGGTTTCAAGGGGGTTCCAAGGCTCTGCAAGGTGCTCAACAACCTCAGACCTCAGGAACCGCTAGTCTCCAGCATACGACGGCAAACTCAAGTATTGAGCGGAGCAATCTATTTAGGCGGCGTGCCCAGGGGGGAAGTGAGAAGGAGAAGGCCTTCTCAGAAGGCTTGGAAGTCCCCCGACCTTCTGACAAGTTTCCTAAGCCTCCCCCGAAGACACAGACAACCTCTCAGAAGGCGCGATGGCTTCTGAGAAGTCCCGCCGTCTTCTGAGAAGGCCTTCTCTTTCTCATTTACCCCCCTCGCTCGCCGCCGACTATTGCTCAGCGACAGCTGTTCAGATTCCCGCTGCGAGAGACATGGAGCCCCAACACAAATTCAGAGCTCAGCCTCAGGGACCTTGGCGGTCCGGCCCTGGGGCCATCTTGTGAACGTTTTCATATTCGGCGTTCAGAGATTGGGCGGGGAGGGGCGGTGGGGTGGGGGTCTGGCTCCGGACCTCTGCTGAATGCGACTGTTTGCAAAAGTTCGTCCTATCGGGGAGACTCCACCTGTGCCCAAAGCGGCCATATCTACTCCAGAAGAGGGGGAGGGGGGGTGCGAGGGCCCGCGCCGATCGGCAAACCAATGAATAAGAAAACGATCACACAGCGAGCGATGGGCCATCTACATAAAGAAACAATAAGAAATAATGAATAAAGAGAAGCGACCACAAGAAGATAAACGGTCACGATCACAAAACGATCACGATCACGCTCATACATTTACAGAAGGAAGAGCATTATAGTGAATAAGAAAACGATAACAACAATAAAGCGATCACAATCACAAGACGATCCCGCAAATACCCCAGCAACTCGACCCGATTTGGCCATACTGATCCACAGCAGCACGGAATTGTCTTTTGCAAGCCCACCCCATACCCATACTGGGTGTTTGATCATTCGATTGAGAGAATAACAACGTTGGTATGAAGCTGAGAGAGTGCAAGCTCAACCTGATGCTGGAAATCTTCCTGTCGTCGGTGGCCTAAAAACACATGTAGGATGTACACCTGTCGTCTGTCGTCTGTCGTCTTCGTCGTCGATCTCCTCCTCCTCCTCCTCCTCCTCCTCCTCCTCCTCCTCCTCCTCCTCCTCCTCCCTCTCCCCTCCTCCCTGCCCTCCCTCTCCCCAGCTCTGCCTCGGGGTCTCAGCAGCTGGCAACAGCGCGGCGCCGACCGCACGCCCAAGGGCTGGGGCTCGCCGCGGGCGGGGACCTGGCGACTGCGCTGCAGACTGAAGCAGAGCTTGGCCACGGACGCCGTGTGACTGAGACAGCGCGCAGCTATGCTGCGACACTCGCATCTTCCTCGGCAGGCCGAGCTGCAGGGTGCAGCCAGGAGCGGCAGCGGCGCTCTCTTCGCCTACCTGCAATAAATGTGCCCTACTCGCTGGAGAACTTCCTCTGGCAGACTGGGGCGCGGCGACGACGGCAGCTCCCCCGCGCCGAACTCAGCCACCATGGGGCTTACGCCGGCGAGGGCCGCCTGCGGCCTGCGCGGCGCTGACGGAGCCAGCTGCGCCGGGGCGCTGGACGAGCAGGGAGGCCATGCCCGCACCTGCCACCTGGGCGCGGGCGCGGTGGCGCGCCACGGGGATCGCTCCACGGGAGAGTCGGCGGCCTCGTCCAACGCTGGCGCGGCCACTCTTCGAGCAGAGGGCGCCGACCTGGTACCGCCCACACCCAGACGGCCGCCTCGAACGCGCAGTCCTGGATCTGGAATGCCAGGACGACGACGGTTGGCGCTGGCTCGACGTCTCCGTCCGCCGCTCCGCGGCTGGCACCCAGGCCGAGCTGTGGGTGGCCGCGCGGCGGGGTGGGGAAGCCAGCCGCCGCCGGGAGCGAGACAGACGCCTCCGCCACCGCGGCGCCAGGCTGACGCCCTTCGCTCTCGAAGCGGGGGGGGCGTCGCGGCGCTGAGGCCCGCGTCTGGCTGCCCGAGGAGCAGCAGCCGCGGGATCTGGCGCGGGCCCACCAGAGGTCCCAAGCTGCGGCCTGCAGGCCGCCGCGGCTCTCCAGCTCCGCGAGGCGGCCTTCGGCGTCGCGGCCGCCACCGCGGGCACCCGCGACGCCGGCATCGCGGCGTGCGCTGCAGGCGGCCTGCTGCAAAATGCCGCGGCCAGGCGCTCCGGACGACGGCAGGCGGATCGCGGGCATCCAAGAAGGGGGCGTCCGAGAGCGGGCGGGGGCGCAGATCATGGCCCGAGGCACGTGCCAGGCCCAGGGGACGCATCCGAGTCAGAAGTGGCGCAGTGAAACCTGGGGGGATATGATGGCCCTGGCCATGATACCCACCCCCCCTAATCATCAGTGAGACGAAGCCAGGACGAAGATGACATCGGGTGAGCACAGATCGAGAATCTCTGAGATCCGGCGGTTCTGGAGGATGCCTCGGGCGCCGCGGCCTCCTCAGAGCGCTCCGGAACGGCATCAGAGCCTTTCGGAACGCCCTGGCAAGGATTGATCCTCCTCCTGTAGCCCCATCTGAGTCACCCCCCTCGTGGTGGTCGTCGGCGCCTCCGCGCTGGCCGGCGACGTCGTGGAGGCCGCGGTGGCCCCGCCAGCGGAGGCGGAGATGCTGGAGTCAGACCGCCTGCCCCTGCAGTCAGCCCGTCCAGCAAGGATGCGCCATCGGGATGCCAGGGCCTCGGAAGCCCATCTCGACGCTCCTTCGAGCGGGGCGCGGCCAACGAAAGTGGCCACGGATGGGCCGAGGAGGCAAGGATGCAAAACGGGCACCCTCGGCGAGGCCGCCCCCGAGCGGAGGGAGCTGGCCAGGGGGCCGCTGCTGGCCGCTGCGGGGCGCCGCTGCTGGCCGCACGAGGCCACGGGCCAGACGGGCGCCGCCCCTCGGCGCCGGTACGGGCCGGGCGGGGCGGCGGCGGGCCTCGGGCCGGCCCGGACCACCTCCCCGCGCTCGTCCAGGTGCTCCAGGACCCTGGCTGGCGCAGGGCCCCTCCCTCCGTGGGAGCGACCGCGCTTCGGGCCCGGGCCCCGCAGCGGTGGCTCTCCCGGTGGGTGCTGTGCGCGGGCGGCTGGCAGGCGGCGCGGGAGGCAGGCGGCGCACATCCCTGTGCTCGGGGCGACGTTGCTACTCTCCCCCCTGCTCATCTTCCTCTTCTTCCTCCTCCTCCTCCTCCTCCTCCTCCTCCTCCTCCTCCTCTGCCTCCTTCTCCTCCTCCTCCTCTGCCTCCTTATCCTCCTGATCCGCCGCCTCCTCCTCCTCCTCCTCCTCCTCCTCCTCCTCCTCCCCAAATCCATCCACCTCCTCCTCCTCCTCCTCTTCCTCCTGCTGCTCCTGCTGCTGCTCCTCCTCCTCCTCCCTTTCTTTCTTTATCCTCCTCCTCCTCCTCCCCTCTTTCTCCTCCTCCTCCTCCTCCTTCTTCTCCTCCTTGTCCTCCTTTCCTTCTGATAACTTCTCCCCTGTCGCCCCCCTCCTTCTCCTCCTGATCCGCCTCCTCCTCCTCCTCCCCAAATCCAGCCACCTCCCTCTTCCTCCTCCTCCTCCTCCTCCTCTGCTCCTCCTGCTCCTCCTCTCTGCTCCTGCTCCTGCTCCTCCTCCTCCTCCTCTCCTCCTCCCTCCTCCTCCTCCTCCTCCCTCCTCCTCCTCCTCCTCCTCCTCCTCCCTCCTCCTCCTCCTCCTCCTCCTCCTCCTCCTCCTCCTCCTCCTCCTCCTCCTCCTCCTCCTCTCCTCCTCCTCCTCCTCCTCCTCCTCCTCCTCCTCTCCTCCTCCTCCTCCTCCTCCTCCTCCTCCTCCTCCTCCTCCTCCTCCTCCTCCTCCTCCTCTCCTCCTCCTCCTCCTCCTCCTCCTCCTCCTCCTCCTTCCTCCTCCTCCTCCTCCCTCCTCCTCCTCCCCTCCTCCTCCTCCTCCTCCTCCTCCTCCTCCTCCTCCTCCTCCTCCTCCTCCTCCCCTCGTTCTCCTCCTCCTCCCCTCTTTCTCCTCCTCCTCCTCCTCCTCCTTTTCCTCCTCCTTCTCCTCCTTTTCCTTCTGAATAACTCCTCCCTGTCGCCCCCCGAGGGCCGGTCGAAAGGGCGGGCTGGGCGTTTCGCCTGAATTTTCCCAGCCATGTATGACCCTAAAGCTATGAACAAACATTAACATCAACTTCACGGATGGAGACCGGCCCGTTTTCACAATGTGGTTCTCGCTTCAGCGCCGCGTGCACTCGTCTTAAACATTTGCAAGACTTCCACGGATTGAGGGGATTTCCGTTTCAAAATGTGGCTCTCGCCCTAGCGCCGCGCACGTTCGTTATTGCAAAAACTTCGCGGATAGAGGGCGGCTCCAGCTCAAGCTGTGACTCTCGCTTCAGCGCCGCGCACACTCGTTTTTTCTCAAAAAAAACATTTGCAAGATTTTCCTGGAATCCCATGGTTCGCGTACCATAGTTGTCGATTGCAACGATTCAGGATTTTCATGGCGCAGCAATTACGTTGATTCCCAGTGTTGAACTCCCAGGAATGGCTTTCTGGCGAGATTCGGGATCGTCAAGACGCAACAGTCAAGTCGATTCGTGGCGTTGAAGAACGGTTGTCTCCCAACGGGGCATTTCACTCATTGGAAATTGATGGGGGGGTCTTTGGTTTACACTGGTCCTCCTCCGCGTCCTCCCCCTCCCCCTCCTCCTCCTCCTCCTCCTTTTCCTCCTCTTCCTCCGCCTCCTCCCCCTCCGAATCCTCCTCCTCCTCCTCCTCCTCCTCCTCCTCCTCCTCTTCCTCCTCCTTCGCCTCCACCTCCACCGCCTCTGGTTTCTCCTCCTCCACCTCCTTATCCCTCCCCTCCCCCGTCCCCCGTCCCCTTCCCCTTCCACAAGCAGACGGGGCAGGAAGAGTCCGCGCGCGGGTGCCCCGCCGCCCCAGGAGGGCCCGCAAGCGCGGCCTTGGGTCAGGTCCGCCGGGAAGTCGTTGGGCAATATCAGCCTCGCGCGCCCGGGGGGGCCTCCTGCTCCCCCCTCAGTCCCGCGCCCTCCCTGCCCCATCCCCCCTCCCAACCCGTGTTTTTGGACCCGCGGTTTCATTCCCAAGGCCTGCCTGGATGGAGGTAGCCCCTCCGCCCGAGACGGACTTGTTGACGACCAGCGAAACTTGCAGCTTCGAGTCTCTAGGCACAGGGGATTTTGATGGGCCTTTGTTTGTGTTTGGAGATGCGAGTGGGGGGAAAGATACCCACCACCCCCTGTTCCGCCGAGTAGGCCTCGGAATAGTGTCGTTTCAGCAGTTTGACGAACGAATGGAGATGTCTGTAGGTGCGTGGGGGCCCCTCCCTGGCACCAGGCAAACAGTCGCTAGAGGGGAGATTTGGTGCCTCCTCACGTGTTTGCAGCGTGTGTCAGGCCATTGTGTGTACACCACAGACAATGATGCAGTTAGTTTAGGGTGGTATCAGCGTAAGTGGCTCGACCCCTCGGGCCCTGCCGCTGACCTCTGGTGGCCATTGGGGCGTGTCTTACGAGAGGGAGGGCCTTCGCTTTCTTGCACATTGCTTTTCGTCCATTCACACCTTGAGGGTGCCGATGTTGTGCGAGGTATAGCGCCCCGTCTCGTGTACTGCTATGCTCCTGCGTGTTCTGTCGTGTTGCTGGTTGTTCTGCGGTGCTCCTACGTGTTGTGTGTTCTGCTGTGTTCGTGTGTGTTCTGCCATGCTCCTGCGTGTTCTGCCACGTACCTGCTTGTTCTGCCGTGCTCTGCCGTGCTCCTCCTGCTCCTGCGTGTTCTGCCGTGTTCCTGCGTGTTCTGTCGTGTTCCTGTGTGTCCTGCCGTGTTCCTGTGTGTTCTGTGCGTTAAAGTTACAGTTGAAGACGGGGCCTTCAAGGCGCAGGGGGAAAACAGACAAAACGCGGACAGGGCCAGACGGGACCACATATCCCGAAAGAAGCCGAGTCCCAAAGCAAAGCGAGCCACGCGTGCCTACTCGCCTCAGGGAGCAACACTCGTGAGCAGAACAGTGCTTATTCTTCACTCACTCTCAGACGGCGGGCCGCGGCGCGCCAGACGGCGGCGGACCCTGCGGCTCACCTGGCCGCCGATCGCCGTGCTGCTCGCGGCGGCGAACCCCTCCTCGGTGGCCCCGTGCACGCCGAGGTGCTCAGCTCTCGTCGAGGATGGCTGCTGCAGGGGCAGGCTGGCAGCCGCCACCTCCGCCGCCTGCACTGTCGCGGGAGCAGCTAGTAGGCCGCTGCCTGAGCTGGCTGCGGCCGAGGCACCACCTGCAGACTCCGCTTCGATGTCGAGCCACTCCAAGTAGCGCTCCTGGGCGCGTCCTGGCACTGGCCCTTGCGAGCGCAGAACGGGGATGCCCTCTCCCTTCGCTCTCTGCTTATCGGCTCGTGGCCTGCCTCCAGGATGGAGCCCTCGCTCCCACAGGCTGCGCTGGTTCCTGCCTGACTTGCTCGCCTTATCGCCTGGGCACCATTCCTTCAGGCGAGGCTTGGCTCCTGCGTGGCTGCCCCTTGTAGGCCCCGCACCTGGAGCAGGCCGCGATCTCCTGGGCGTCCTCGCCTTCGCCCGCGCAGGCGTAGCAGAGCGCGTGCCCCAGGATGCTGAAGGCGACAGCAGTGGCCGAGATGGCGGTCGTGCTGCTCCCCGTCGAGCGGCTTCTCTGCAGGCGTGGCCGCTTGGCGGGAGCGCCGGCGCCGAGGGCCGCTCCAGCCAACGGAGGCTCCTCGGCCGTAGCGGCCTGCGCCTGGCGTTGCTCGCCTGCGGGAGGGCCACGCCCTCGGGCGGCCCAGCCTGCAACGCCTCCAGCTGCTCCACAGTCGCCTGCAGCCTCTCGGTAGCCGTAACTCCGCCGCCGCTCGGCGCCCCACTGGCCACAGAAGCCGAGGTCTGCGACTTGGCGGATGCCGCTCGCGAGGCAGCGCTGCGGGCCTGCCGCTGGGCTTTGCGCCCCCTCGGCTGGTCCACCATTCCGTCCTTGTCGGCCTTGGGCTTCGCCACGGCGGGGGCCGACCCCAGAGCCCAGGGCGGCGCTGCATGCCCACAGCTGAGGCAAGAGGATCGCCAATCCCAGTTCCAACCTCCGCAGCTGCACATCCAGTACGGCCTGCTGCGCTTGCCACTGCTGCCGCCACGCGAGGAGCGCGCCATGGCCCCAGGCGCACGGGCCGACAGGTCGCGCCTCCGCGCTGCGAAAGCCAGGAGCAGACCAACAGAGTGCACTGGCCCAAAGCGAGGAGCCCCTCGCGCACGGAACGCCGCGGACGACTCGCGGTCGTCGGGTGCTCTATGGCCTTGAGCCAAAATGGCAACGGATTGTGTTCTGTGTGTTCTGCCGTGCACCTGCGTGTTCTGCCGTGTTCCTGTGTGTTCTGCCGTGCTCCTATGTATTCTCTGTGTGCTGCCGTGTGCTCCTGCGTGCTTCTGTGTGTTCTGCCGTGCTCATGTGTGTTCTGCTGTGCTCTTGTTTGTTCTGCTGTGCTCCTGTTTGCTCTGCCATGCTCCCATCTGTTCTTTAGGTTCTGCTGTGCTCCTCTGTGTTCTGCTGTGCTCCTGTGTGTTCGGCCATGCTCTCGCGCGTCCTGCCGCGCTTCTGCGTGTTGGGCTGCCGTGATCCTGCCCATTTGCTGAAGATGTCTCAAGCGAAAAGCTCAGTCTTGACACGCATCGTCTTAGATCAGGCTTTTCAGCATCTCATTTTGTCGTGGATGTCTCGGGCGATATCCCCATTACATACGTTTGTTAAGCTCGCGGTGTTCATGTCCTGATGGATGTCTCAGGCGAGATGCTTGTTTTGATGAAAGACGGTGTTGCGAACAACTCAGGTTGTTAGGATGCATCAAGCGAAAAGCGCATTTGGAGGAATCTCGAGGGCGCTTCCGGGGTCATGTTGGGCTCGTTTGGGGCTCCTTTGGGGCCGTCTCGACGCCTTAACAAATGATGCCAGTGCGATGTCACACTCAGATCTTTTTTGAGGATGCCCCTAGCGAAATCGCAATGTTTAGAAGCCTGGCTTGGGCCGTCTGGAAGCCTTTTCAGGAGCGATCCCAAGACGATGCTAGAAAAGCAGTTGTCAAACCGATGTTGTTGCCTGTTTTCATTTGTTTGAGGGTGTCCCTAGCGAGATCGTCATTTTCGGCAGTCTTCAGGACGCTCTTGGAGCCATCTTGGGGTCCTTTTTAGGCTCCCATTTCATCTTGAAGCACTTCGAGAACGATGTCAAGACGATGTTGAAAACGTCTCACTTGGTTGAAGATGTCGGCAGCGAGCTGCAAATTTTCTGTCGTGCTCTGTTTTTCTGGTCTGCCGTGCTGCCGCTCATTTTCTGAGGACGTTCCATGCGAAAACGTAGTTTTCAACGTAAGAGGTAGTACTACACCTCCGTCGACATCTCGTTTTGGTCAGGATATCTCACTCGAATCGTTAGTTTTTACATACTACGTAATGAATTTCGCGGCGATCAATTTTTCGAGGATGTCTCTGGCGAACCGCTTGTTTGGGTTAAGCGCGATTTCGCGAAGATTTCAATTCTGCGAGGATGCATCAAAACAAATCGCTATTTTGAGGAATTCGCTAACCCTGTCTCCCGTGCAATTCGCCAGCCTCTATCAGTAAGAGATTATGAAATATATTGCAGATTCGGCCACAACGTCCAGCTCGCTTCTGGTACCTCGAAGACGCTTCCCGTCATCCGCCCGCCCCCGTGAGGGGCCACCAGGCTGTAGGCCGAAGTGTGCTGCTCCCTGCGCCAAATGCAGTTTCAAATCTCCAATGTGACGGTCCTGCTTTCTGTTTCCTACTGTGAACTGCTGAAATCCGCGCGAAGGAGGGGAGCCCCAAACCGCCCGGTTACCACCCCAAAATCGCGTGCTCTGAATTCCCAGGGGGTGCGTGGGACACGTAAAGATACATAAGATTCGCGTCCCTGAGGCCAGAATCCCTTGTAAATTACGCGATATTGGAGCCCCCGAAACCAAAAACTATTGCACATTACGTCGTATTCGCATTGCCGGACCAAGAGTGCTCCAAGGCGCCCGAAGATGGTTCCAAGAGGGCCCCAAGAGGCGCCAAGAGCGCTCCAAGAGGCCTTCTGAGAGAGCCCCACGAGGCCAACATCGTATATTTTACGCACAGATGCTGGCCTTCTCGCATTTTCGGCGTTTCGACGCTCCAGGACGGCTCAAGAAGCTCCCAAGACCGCCCCAAGACAGCCCAAGAGGCCCCCAAGACGGCCCAAGAGGGCTCCAAGATGGCCCAAGAAGCGCTCAAGACGGCCAAATATTCGTGCCACGAGAAACCCCCAGGAAGGAGGCCCCGAGAGGCTGCCAAGAGGCCCCAGGAGGCCCCAAGAGGCGCCCAAGAGGCCTCCAAGAGGCCCAAAAGATACCCCACGGGGCCCCCAAGAGGCGCCCAAACCGCCCCCAAAAGGCCCCCGAGGGGCTCCCCACGACACCCCAACACATATACAATTCGCCGGCCGAACAGGCCAGAGGCGTGCTAAGATCTCTGGTAACTGCTTAACCATATTTCTAATTCGCGCGCGCGGGGCGGCCCCTGGAGGGCCCCGGACGAAAAGTACCCCGGCTGACCCCCGGCCGGGTCCCGGGCGATCCCCAGGGGGGAGGCTATTTTTCGCCACCCCTCACGAGGATCGTGGCCTACGAGGGGGGGGCCCCCCTCCCGCCCCAAGGGGCCCCCAAGAGCCCCCCAAGAGGCCCCATGGGAGCCCAATGCGCCGCCAAGGAGCCCCAAGACGCTCCCAAGAAGCCCCCAAGAAGCCCCCAAGACGGCCCCAAGAGGCCCCAAGTAGCGCTTCAGGGCCGGCGGAATGCGCGAAGCGATTAAATAAGCCTCAGACCCACAACCCCTGCACGGTTGCGGGATGGGCCGAAGGCCACTAGGATAACGCCAACGTCTCAGTATGCGCTGATGATTCCTATATGTCCCCGCGTGATGTTCTCAGATGCGCCAAGGCAGCGCCGAGACGCACCGACGCGACTCTGATAGATCCGATTCTGATAGAGAGGGGGCCGGCGGCAGGGGGCGAAGCCCTTACGGATACTAGTCTGGTGACGATTTTCCGTGCTCTTTGGACTATATGTTTGATTATGTTTTTTTATTTCCCTTCCAACACCCGCCTGTAGGAAGACCTAACCGACCTGATGCAAGCCGAGGGTGACCGCCGTTTTCTGTTTCTCTCTTTCACGGCGGGCTTTCTTCCACGCAGAGCTGCTTGGTGCACTGCTGGCTCGTGTTCGCGGCGCTCCGCCGTCATGTCTTCGCCACGCGCCCCCCCCCCCTTCCCCGAGGCGTGTTGTTGTTTCCTGGGGGGAGATGGCAAAGGGCAGGGTAGAGACTCAGCTCACGCAGCCAGCTCTCCTGGCGCCTTCTGGCGCCAGGAGGCGCCCCATGCATCGAGGACTGGGCCTGGCGGCGGGGCGGAATCCACCTGCGTGCTGCGCATTTCGTGAATCCCCCTTCCCCTGCAGAAACGAAACGTACCGATACCACGACTCCCCGCAACTCTCCCGGGGTGCGTTCTGACCAGGATTTCGAGGCGAATCCAGTGGTGGCGACAACGGCCTCCCAGGAGGCCGACAAAAAAGGACAACTGGCGAAAGGTAGCGCCATGGGTACCCATTCCTCCTCTGATTCCTCGTCATACGGCAGGTTCGGGTCGTGTCGACCCCGGCGGTGGTTCCTGACGCCGCAGGGATTGTTCAACCTTGAACGATCGGCCGTTTCCGAAACGGCCAAATCGCTCCACATCGAACGATTCTGGGTCGCCCGCGGCGTTCAAAATGGAACGCCGCTGGCGGGGTCGCCGCCGGTCGACACGACACGAATTGAGCAGGGACCGACCGGCCCGGCATTCTTGTAGTCCTACCACGAAATGTTCTTGGAACCCAAAAATTATCCCGGCAAAGCAACCTAACAGCGATGTGTAGGAGCATATCTGGAAGCATTCCCCTTAAGATTCAAATGAGAATCCAGTTGTAGAATTGTGCTGTTCTCGCAGTCGTAATCGCATTCGCGATGACAGTCGCAGTGGCAACGGCAGTCACACACACAGCCTCAGCCTCAGCCTGCCTCAGCCTCAGCCTCAGCCTGCCTCAGCCTCAGCCTGCCTCAGCCTCAGCCTCAGCCTGCTTCAGCCTCAGCCTCAGTCTGCCTTCAGCCTCGGCGTCAGCCTCAGGCTGCCTCAGCCTCAGCCTGCATCAGCCTCAGCCTCAGCCTCAGCCTGCCTCAGCATCAGCCTGCCTCAGCCTCAGCCTCAGCCTGCCTCAGCATTCAAAATGTGGCCCGGGAATGTAGTTCTGGGAACTCGAAGAACACGAAGTGGCCTACAGTTGGCTCCGGGCATTCAAATTCATGCCCAGGAATGGAGTTCTGGGAACTCGAAGACCACGAAGTGGCCTACAGTTGGCTCCGGGCATTCAAAATTCATGCCCAAGAATGGAGTTCTGGGAACTCGAAGACCACGAAGTGGCCTACAGTTGGCTCCGGGCATTCAAAATGTGGCCCGGGAATGGAGTTCTGGGAACTCGAAGACCACGAAGTGGCCTACAGTTGGCTCCGGGCATCCAAAATGTGGCCCGGGAATGGAGTTCTGGGAACTCGAAGAGCACGAAGTGGCCTACAGTTGGCTCCGGGCATTCAAAATGTGGCCCGGGAATGGAGTTCTGGGAACTCGAAGACCACGAAGTGGCCTACAGTTGGCTCCGGGCATTCAAAATGTGGCCCGGGAATGGAGTTCTGGGAAGTCGAAGAGCACGAAGTGGCCTACAGTTGGCTCCGGGCATTTAGAATGTGGCCCGGGAATGGAGTTCTGGGAGGTCGAAGAGCACGAAGTGCGTGACTGTTTGCGAAAAGCGATCCCGGCCGGCAGGCCCCAACACCTCCCCAACGGCTGCCCAGACCCCCCTGTGGAGTAATGTGCTGCTCTGTTTTTGCACCACTAGAAACCTATCAGTCTTCGCTGTTCGGTAATGTTCTTGGAACAAAAAAATTATCCCGGCAAAGCAACCTAACAGCGATGTGTAGGAGCATATCTGGAAACATTCCCCTCAATATTCAAATGAGAATCCAGTTGTAGAATTGTGCTGTTCTCGCAGTCGTAGTCGCATTCGCGATGACAGTCGCAGTGGCAACGGCAGTCACAGCCTCAGCCTCAGCCTCAGCCTGCCTCAGCCTCAGCCTCAGCCTGCCTCAGCCTCAGCCTCAGCCTGCTTCAGCCTCAGCCTCAGTCTGCCTTCAGCCTCGGCGTCAGCCTCAGGCTGCCTCAGCCTCAGCCTGCATCAGCCTCAGCCTCAGCCTCAGCCTGCCTCAGCATCAGCCTGCCTCAGCCTCAGCCTCAGCCTGCCCTCAGCATTCAAAATGTGGCCCGGGAGTGTAGTTCTGGGAACTCGAAGAACACGAAGTGGCCTACAGTTGGCTCCGGGCATTCAAATTCATGCCCAGGAATGGAGTTCTGGGAACTCGAAGACCACGAAGTGGCTTACAGTTGGCTCCGGGCATCCAAAATCTGGCCCAGGAATTGCCTACAGTTGGCTCCGGGCATTCAAATTCATGCCCAAGAATGGAGTTCTGGGAACTCGAAGACCACGAAGTGGCCTACAGTTGGCTCCGGGCATCCAAAATCTGGCCCGGGAATGGAATTCTGGGAACTCGAAGAGCACGAAGTGGCCTACAGTTGGCTCCGGGCATTCAAAATGTGGCCCAGGAATGGAGTTCTGGGAACTCGAAGAGCACGAAGTGGCCTACAGTTGGCTCCGGGCATTCAAAATGTGGCCGGGAATGAAGTTCTGGGGACTCGAAGACCACGAAATGGCGTACAGTTGGCTCCAGACATTCAAAATGTGGCCCGGGAATGGAGTTCTGGGAACTCGAAGAGCACGAAGTGACCTACAGTTGGCTCCGGGCATTTAGAATGTGGCCCGGGAATGGAGTTCTGGGAGGTCGAAGAGCACGAAGTGTGTGACTGTTTGCGAAAAGCGATCCCGGCCGGCAAGCCCCAACACCTCCCCAACGGCTGCCCAGACCCCCCTGTGGAGTAATGTGCTGCTCTGTTTTTGCACCACTAGAAACCTATCAGTCTTCGCTGTTAGGTAACAGTGTTCTTAGAACATAAGCCCGACGTGATAAAACAAGACAGACTCCGCCAGAAATGTTCTACGAGCATTTGGCGGAAACCACAAAAGGTTCTTAGAACATTGTTTGGTAGGGCTATTTCGCCAGGCCCGATTTTCTCCTGCCGCGAGGGGGGGGGGGCCTGGCCCCCCCACGAGCTCTCGTGGGCGAGGCCGCCCAGGCGCGCAGTCTATGCGCGCGCGCGCCTGTGGGCCCGGTACATGAAGAGCTTCGCGGCGTGGGGTCCCTCGAGGCCTCCGAGCGGGTAGTTGCGGACCTGGCCGGGGGTGGTCGTCGTCGTCGTCGCCGCCGTCGACGTCGCCGTCGCCGTGGCCGTGGCCGTCGCCGTGGCCGTCGCCGTCGCCGCCGCCGCCGCCGCCGCCGCCGTCGCAGATCTGGGTTCGAGGCTCGAGGGGTGTTTCTGTTGGGCCGCCGTGGGTAGTTCTGCGGGGCGTGGCCCAGATTTGCCCTTCGGAGGTGCACTTGGCCCCCCCCCCCCTCCCCTCCCTGGGCCTCCTTGCCCCCTCCCTCCCGTCCTGCCGCGTGGCCGCTGGCGCCTCGTCGCTGGGCGCGCGACTGGAAGGAAACGGCTGGCCCGCTCTCGACGCAGAGGACGCCCCCGCCCTCCCTGCCGCCCGCCCCCCTACACCGCAGGCCAGGGGGCCCGTGCGGGCTGGAGCGCGGGGCCTTGATCGCGCCCAGCGAGTTGTAGACGGGATCCTGCGCGGCAGGCGCGCGAGGGGAGGGACTGGGGAGAGGAGAGGGGGGGGGGACGGGCGGGGCGAGGGAGTGGCTGGGAGGGGTGGGCGAGGAGGAAGGAGGAACAGATGACCAGGCGGCGGGAGAGGGTGCGGCGGGGAACGGGAGGGGGGAGGCAGGGACGCAGCGAGCCCCAAAGGCCCCAGGGCGGCTCAAAAACGTTCCCCATGGCGGCCCAAGAGACCTCCTGGACGACCCGACCTAACGGGGTTAATCAAACTGACCTGGGGAGCCTCGACCCCAAGGTTGCCCCTCGAAGCTCCAAATACGCCCCCAGAAGCCTTTACGAGAACTCTACTAGGCCACAAGAAGTCTCAATTAATCGGTACTGCCTGCAATCACCTCGGACAGCAGGACCGAGAAACAACTGCGACTCTCTTGTGTTGGCAACGGGACGTGCAATCTGCATCTGTCAGCTTCCCTTGGCGCGCCGACTAGGCAATCAGCCAACCAACTGGGCCAGCAACCAGGCAACCAAGCAACAAATCAACCAACCGCCAACCGACCAAGCAACCCGCTAACCAACCCAACGACCAACCCAACACCTAGCTGGCCAACCAAACAACCAGCCAACCAGCCAACCGACGAACAAACCAACCAACAAGCCGAATAATCTACAATCGGCCGCACAAATTCACACATCAGCCGACCCTGTCGGCGTGAGGAAGAGGCTGTTCCGTTTAACTCGTCGTCGTCGTCGTCGTCGTCGTCGTCGTCGTCGTCGTCGTCGTCGTCGTCGTCGTCGTCGTCGTGGTTGTTGTCGTCGTCGTCGTCGTCGTCGCCGTCGCCGTCGCCTTCGCCGCTCCCCTCGCCTTTCCCTAGGAAAGTTGTAGTTGAGTAGAAGGGAAGCCCCTTCCCTTTGATCCCTTCCCCGCCTGGGGGGGGGGTCCCAGGGGGTCCTGGGGGGGTCGTCCCGGGGGGGGTCGCCACCCGGATACGACCCAGATGCGACTCCCCCCGGGGGGGGGTCGCCACCCAGATACGACTCCCCCCTGGGCGGTTCGGGGGCCCAGAAAAGCTCCAAGAACGCAAAAGTGCCCCAGGATGCCCCCAAGACCATGCTCGAGGGCCCCGAATCGCCGAAGCACCGGTCCAAGTCGCCAAAGTAGCCTCAAGACAGCTCCAAAGGTTTCTAAAACTCACCGAGAGGCCTCCAAGAGGACTCCCAAGAGAGCCCCAGGGGGCAAAAATCATCGAGCTCGTTTTTTGAAACATTTTCGGCATTTGTCGCCTTGTCTGCTTCCCGATGCTCCACGAAGGGCCAAGGGCCCCCCAAGACCGCCACAAAAAGGCCCAAGAGGCCTCCAAGAGGCCTTCAAGACAGCCGAAAAGGCCCCCAGGACGGCTCCAAGACGGAGCCCAGACGCGGGACTCGAACGGTCATTTCGAGCTCTCGGCCTGATAAGCTCCCAGATGGCCCCCAGAGGCCCCTAAGAACCCCCCCGAAAGGCCCCAAGAGGCCCCCAAGAGACCCCCAGGAACCCCCAAGAGGCCCCCACGAGGCTCCCAAGCGGCCCCCAAGAGCCTCCCAAAAGGCCCCCAAATTACCCCCACGAGGCACCCGAGAGCGCTCGTCGTCGTCGTCGTCGTCGTCGTCGTCGTCGTCGTCGTCGTCGTCGTCGACGACGCCATTCAGGGTCGGCGGCGCTGGCTTGAAGGCCTTCGCAATATCTATAAGTGCCTGAAGCGGGCCCAGGGACGGCCCCTCGCCAGAGCCAACGGCACGCCAACCCCACACCCCATACGAGGCAACGCGAGAACCATGAATCGCCGCGACCGCGCTTCGTGATGGCATTGCTGCGCAACTTCCGCAGAAAACGCGGTGGCGGATGTGCGCGGCACCGCGCGCAAGCGGATGCAATCGTGCCTGCGTGGTTTCTTCGTGGCTGCCTGAAGGGAACAATAGAGGCTTCCTAGATGGGGTCGGAATAGATGGGGTCGGAGGATCGCGCCGCATCGCCGACGCATCGGCGCTGCATTGGCGATGCACTGGCGACGTTGGCGGGAAGAAAACTGGGACCCGCATCGAGACGCATTGCCGATGCATCGGCGATGCGGCGCGATCCTCCGACCCCATCTACTCCGATCTCATCTAGGAGGCCTAAGAATTTTTGCGTCGGCGACTAGGCAGAAGGTGACTGCGCGGGCAATGAAAGGCTTGAACGGGAGCGCCGTTTTGGGCGAATTGCGCCACCATGCGAGAGGAGGAAGGAGGGAGGAGGGACGCGGCCGGAGGAAGACGAGGACGGGGCGGGCGGCTCAGGGGTCAGAGCGCTGCTCGAGCCTGGCCATCGCTCGGACGTCCGTTCCCGGTGTTTTTGTCGGTTTCGTGCATGGTTTTTGTTGCAAAATGATCAAGGATGCTCCTCGAGGGTCCTCGCCGAAGGAAAAATGCACACGTCCGAGCGATGCCAAGGAGCGTGGATCCTCGCCAGAGGCCGGGGATCCATCCCCACGCGCCCGCCGAGAGCGGCGCCACCGTGCGAGGGGAGGAGGGATCGAGGGAGGAGGGACGCGGCCGAAGGAAGACGAGGACGGGGCGGGCGGCTCAGGGGTCAGAGCGCTCCCCGAGCGTGGAGGCCTGGAAACGAGAATCGGGAGCGGCCAAAAGGGGGGTGTCAAAGAGGGGGGGGTGCAAATCATGACCGGCGGCATGTGCGCGGCCCAGGGTCCAGGGACGTAATGAAATAAGAAGCGGCGCCACGAGACCTGGGGAGATATCATGGCTCCCGTCATGATATCCCCCCCCCCTAGTCATCACCCCGCTCTTTTCCGCCCCCGAGAGAACGCCCTGCAGCCTGGAGCCTCGCCAGAAGGCCGGGGGATCCGTCCCCGCGCGCCGGCCGAGAGCGGCGCCCGCGCTCCTGGGAGCAGAGGAGGAGGCGCAGCTCGCGCCTCGCGCGCGGCCGGGCCGAGGCGAGGGGGGCGCCCGGGGGTGGGAGGGCGGCGGGGGAAACTGGGGGGGCGACGGAGAGAGGGAGGAGGAAGAGGAAGAGGAGAGGAGGAGGGGGGAGAGGAGGGGGAAGAGGAGGGCGACGGAGAGGAGGGGGAGGAGGAAGAGGAAGAGGAGAGGAGGGGGAGGAAGAGGAAGAGGAGGGGGAGGAGGAGGATGAGGAGGAGGAGGAGGAGGAGGAGGAGGAGGAGGAGGAGGAGGAAGGCGAGGAGAGTGTCGAGAATCTGGGGCCCAGACGACGCTTGAACATAATATAATCATTGCCGACGGAATCATGTTCCTCCTGCCCCTGCTTCCCAACTTCCTTCGCTTACTCTTCCTCCACCTCCGTTACATTCCCTCCAAAGTCCGCCGCCCCATCCACCTGCTACCCTCCTCATCGTTCTCTTCTTCCTCCCCCCTCCACTTCACCCTCTACTTCCTGAGTCTTCCGTTGCCCCTGTCTGTCCCTCTTGGGTCGTGTTGGGGACCTCTTGGGTCGTGGGGGCCCCCACACCTTACCTCCAGACGAATCCAGCGCAGCGGGAGAAGCTGCCCGCAGCCACGGACATCAATGACCTTTTGGCTGCTCCCCCGCCAGGTCCCAAACACGCGCCGCAAAGCGCTGCCACAGGGGCATCCTGAAGCTCTCGCTGGCTGTCCTAGGCCGTCGGAGCTCTCTTGGAAGCTCGGGTCGGGCGAAGAGAAGGGGATAGCAAAGGGGGGGTGTTGAGAATCAGCTCACGTAGCTGATTTTCCCGGCGCCTCCCGGCGCCGGGAGGCGCCCATGTATCGAGGAATGGGCCCGGCGGCGGGGCCGAAACCAGCTGCACGCAGCAGATTTCGTAACCCCCCCTTTCCCTATTCCCCCCTTTCATTCGGCCCGAGAAGCTGCTGGAGGCTCTGGAATCTTACCTGCATGTCGACATGAATAGGGCGAAGAGCACTATGCACATGCACCGATGCTGGCAAGGCCCATCCTTGACCCAGGATCGGTGCATATGCTTCCTAGGCCACTGGAGGAGGGCGTCTGCACCGATCCTGGGCTCAGGCTGGGCCTGGCCAGAATCGGTGTCTGTGCATAGCTCTCTTTCCTCTGATGAGGCACGCAGCGGGCTGCACGGGCGGCCTCCGCCCTGTCCGCTTCCGCCCCTGGGGCCGCTTGGGGGCGCCCCCTCTGGCCCTGGAGCGCCCGCGCCCCTGCTGCTGCCGCGCCGAGGCAGCACGAGGCTGCGGCAACCCCGGAGACCCGGGGAAGTCGTTGTTTTTTTTTTGTGTGTGTGTTTTTGTATTGTTGTTATTCCCCACATCATAAGTGGGTTTCTTGTTTTCTCTGCGCACCCTCCGCGCAGGATCTCTCGTCCTCCTCCCTCTCCTCTGCTCCTCTTTGCTTCCTCCTCCGCATCATCATCACCATCACCATCACTCCCCACTCATCATCATCATCACCATCAGCATCACCATCGCACGATCACTCACCATCATCGGCATCGAACGATCATCATCATCATCATCATCATCATCACTACTCGCTGAGTCACCACTTCGACCCCGTCATCATCACCAACATTTACCATCATAATCGCACGAACACTCACCATCAGCACTCATCATCACCACCATCATCATCATCATCATCACGTCGTCATCATCACCACCACCACCATCATCATCACAAACATCATCACCATCATCATCATCATCACCATCACCATCATCATCATCATCATCAATCATATATCATCATCAAACACCGTCGTCATCATCCCACCACCATCATCCACCAAAAGGGAGCCTCGTCTGTGAGTGAAGTGTGAGGAAGTCTCAGGCGGGAACCCCCTCCCTATGGGGCCCGCAGATCATGTTACTAATCCGAGCGGGTCATCGGATTCCTGTAACTGTCGTCACTTTTGGGCTCCTCAAGTCTGAATTTGGAGGAAGTATCAAGCGGGAGCCTCGTCTGTGCGTGAATTGCGAAGAAGTCTCAGGCGGGAGCCCCCTCCCTATGGGGCCCGCAGATCATGTTACTAATCCGAGCGGGTCATCGGATTCCTGTAACTGTCGTCACCTTTGGGCTCCTCAAGTCTGAATTTGGAGGAAGTATCAGGCGGGAGCCTCGTTTGTCAGTGAAGTGCAGGCAGGTCTCAGGCGGGAACCCCCTTCCCTATGGGGCCCGCAGATCATGTTATTAATCCGAGCGGGTCATCGGATTCATGTAACTGTCGTCACTTTTGGGCTCCTCGAGTCTGAATTTGGAAGAAGTATCATAATGAGCCGTGTTTTTCCAGCGGAGAGGATCTGCTACTATCTGACCGGGTTACAACACACAGCTGGGACGACGTGAGATCGTTAGAATCACACGTCCAAGGCATTCTGCAAAGTATAATGGGAGTATGGGATGGGAGAACATTGTTCGAAAGGGCGGGTGCCTTTGACGCTTGAGCCCGAGCGGTTGCGATGAGCAACGCGAGAGGCCAAGCCTGGACACGACACCCGAAAAACCTTTCTCATCATTCCCGTGCACGCGCTAACATAATGAGCCGTGTTTTTCCAGCGGAGAGGATCTGCTACTATCTGACCGGGTTACAACACACAGCTGGGGCGACGTGAGATCGTTAGAATCACACGTCCAAGGCATCCCAAACATCCCGAATTGAAAGGGTTCACAGGGGCGAAGGAGGGGAAGAGAGGAGGGGAAGAGCGAAAGCAAACAAAGCCTGAGCCTCATTGGGCCCCGGTACGGACGGGGCCGCTCGAGTTGTACGAGCAGGAGGCGTGCTTCTTAGCTGCGAGAGACTTAGCCAGAGCAGTGGCAAGGCGAGAGGGGTAAGGCTGGGCGATTGAGGTCCACAAAACATTCTGGTCATTGCGGCCACTCAGCTCGATATGACGGCGGAGGGTGCGAGAGCACAAACCAGCTTTTCCAGAGTAGACTCTGTCCAATGAGCAACTGTCCTCAGGATACATATTACCACATACTAGCCATGTCCTTTTTCGCCACGGCGTACCCCATTGACAGAAATCTGTAAGTCGCCATTCAGCACGCGCCCGGCTGCACAGAGCCAATATCTCTGGGATGAACCACAGGCGGGAAGTTGACGGATTTTCAAGTATCCACGGAATTTTGTAGCGATTGAGATGTCTGAGAATGCGAATTACGGCCCGAATTATCTTGTTACCAGTCTCGAGTGAGGCTCGGTCCCGATCGGTAGCATCGGTCAGGTCAGTCCCCCATGGCTGAGTGCGTGAGCGTATCTGAAAAGTCCTATCTCGAGCGATAGTCAGCGAGGTGCAAGGGAGGGCGATCATGGCGGCGAGAATCTTGCCGTCACGGACGTCCGAAAACAATAGGCGAAGCACAGCCGGGTCCGTGATGTCATGGTTGGGCCCGTGGATGATGTCCCAGGCCTTAGCTGAGAACCCCAGCCGCGTGACTGCCCGAGCCACCTTGCCTGAGCCAGAGAACAGGTCGGCCATGTAGGTGCCGTCCTTGGCTAGCCGCGGACGGGCGGTGGCCTTGGGGCAAGCTCGGGCGACCAGAGGAACTCGACGAGCTGGTCTTCGCACAGGCGCATGTGTGCTTGCATCTCGGCAGGGAGCTCGTTCCGGAAGCTTCCGAGACGGGCGCTCTTCTCGTAGCGCACGAGGCTCTTCCAGCTCTTCCCTGGGGATGAGCGTCGCTGGCAAAGTCGTCGTACGACGGGGCCCACATAGAAGGGGACCCAGGACGAGCTGTGAAGTCCGTGAAGGACAACGCCATTAAGTGAAACACCGCAGCATGCCTGTGAACACCAATGAGTAGGGCACTGCAGCACGCTTGCGAACGCCCGTAACTTGAGCACCACAGCGATCGTCGGACGACGATCGGCGATTGCACCGCGTAGATTGCATAGCTGGCACCACATAGATTGCACCACGCAAGCTGCTACAGATAATTGTTTGGGCCTGGGGCCCACGCTGGATAACATATATCACCGCGGGGCCACCACGGACAGCCGCGCGGGACACCGTTCGGGACAACCGCGGGACCACCAACGGGAACCCGAGTAGGATTGAGGGGAAGAGGAAGAGGAGGGGGAGGAGGAGGAGGAGGAGGAGGAGGAGGAGGAGGAGGAGCGTCCTCGCCCTCGTCGTCCTCCTCCTCCTCCTCCTCGCCCTCGCCCTCGTCCTCCTCCGCCTTCTCCTCCTCCTCCTCCGCCTTTTCCTCCTCTTCCTGGGCGGGGCCGCGGGTCCTCGAGTCGAGGCGGCGGCGGCGGCGGAGCGGGGCCGCGGGGCGGGGCCGCGGGCGACGGCGACGAGGACGTCGACGATCGACGACCTCCTCCTCCTCCTCCTCCTCCTCCTCCTCCTTCTCCTCCTCCTCCTCCTCCCTTCTCCTCCTCCTCCCTCCTCCTCCTCCTCCTCCGCCTCTTCCTTCTCCTCCTCCTCTTCCTGGGCGGGGCCGCGGGTCCTCGAAGTCGAGGTCGAGGCGGCGGCGGCGGGGCGGGGCCGCGGGGCGGGGCCGCGGGCGACGGCGACGACGACGACGACCTCCTCCTCCTCCTCCTCCTCCTCCTTCTCCTCCTCCTCCTCCTCCTCCTCATCCTCCTCTTCCTCCTCCTACTCCTCCTCATTTTCTTCCTCATCCTACTTTTCCCTTTCGGTCCGTCGTCGTAGTCTCGGTCCGTCGTCGTCGTCGTCATCATCGTCGTCCTCGTCGTCGAAGGTGAAGAACGTGCCGCGGCCCTCCGTTTTGCTCATCCTTCTTGTCCGCCTCCTCATTCGTATCCTTCCAGTCTTCCTCATCGGAAGGAGGATGAAGAGGATGAGGAGTAGAGGGCAAAGAAGAGTAGCAATACGACGATGGCGAGGAGCAACAGCAGCCGCAGCAGCTGTGTTTTCTGGTTATTATGTGTGGAACGCTGCTACCGCCACGCATGGTGACTGACAGTCACGGTCACTGAACTCTTTCGCGATGGTGCCGTGCTTGGGGGGGCCCCTACGATCCCAGATCTGCCTCCTTATTCCTCCCCTCCTTTCCTCCCGCCCCCTCCCCTATTTCAGATCTACCTCCCCCCCTCCCCCATCCCGTTTCTTCCTATAGCATCTTCCTCCCTCCTTCTTCTCTTCCGCCTCCTCCTCCATGACGCTTCCCCTCTGCATCGAGGGGGCCGAAAACTGCCTCAATCCAAATGCCGGACGTCCTGGCCGAGCAGCTACAATGTTCGTGCTCCCCACAAAAGCACTTGGCTCTTGCGACGCAACATTGATTTCCCATGGCCGCAATAGAACCGACATGGCATTGGCAAAAAAAAGGCACTGGCACACAACACAATTTGCACACAATCGCTCAGCGAAGCAAGTGCTTTGCATGCTTCCACTCATCGCTCGGGGCAGCGCCGCGAGCGCGCTTGCCCTTGCCTTTGCCGATGCCCTGGCCCTGACCTTTGCCCTTGGCAGAGCCCTTGCCACGCGACACCTGCGGAGTCTTGGAGAGCATGCCAGAGACCGTCTGGCGGTACACGGGGCCGTTGATGGCCTTCTCGAGGCCTTGCGGCCACCTGCAGCTCCAGACATCGAGATCGCACTCAATCATCTTCTTTTCCATGCCGACGGTGTAGGCGTAGCTGAAAGGGATCTTGGAACACTTCACGTCCAACACAGTGCACTTGCCGGCCTTCATGGCGTCGACCTCTGCCTGCTTCGCCTCCTTAATGAGCCATGCTGGGACGAACTCGTCAGTCATCGTCGTGTCGACGCCCTCCCCTGAAGCATACAGCATGACGTTGCCGATCTTCGTCAGCGGGATGCAACCAGCGGAGGCCACGCGCACGACTCTACCAAATAAGTTCGCCACGAAATTCTTCCCCATGCGGTCCGAGACGAGAGTCTCCTCAGGCTTGTCCGGGTTGCAGTGCAAGCACGTCGTGCCCGAGTCGGGCTGATGTGACTCTGGCTTCAGGGAGGTTTGGCCCGACACGACGCACTTCTCGTACAGCGTGGCCTCAATCTTCTGGATGACGTTGCGCAGCACCAGAGGTGGCAGGTCGTTCTCATCATCCTTCCACTGGCCGCGCAGCTCGCTGAGAGAAATGACATGCGTCGACTGATCCTCCTCAGGCTGCTGGGGGCCCGGGGCCTCGGCGCCCTTGCCGCCGCTCGCGCCGCCACCAGTGGCGCCGCTGCCGTCCGCCGAAGCCGAGGCCGCCGATGCCCCATTCGCGCCGCCACCAGCGGCGCCGCCGTCCGCCGAAGCCGAGGCCGCCGAGGCCCCATTCACGCCCTCGCCAGCGGCGCCACCACCTGCCGAATCCGAGGCCCCCGTCTCGCGCGCGATGATCTCGCTCAAAAGGTTCTCGAACTTGCCCGTGTTGGCCATCTCGCGGCGGCCCCAGATAATGACCTCGGACCAGATCGACACCCAGTCGCGGACGAAGTCGTGCTGCTGCGTCTGCCCTGGGCTGCAGTATTCGGGGAAATTGATCTGCTTCAGGGCCTTCGCGTCCAGGGCGCTGACGACTTGCGGCAAATTGGCGACGATGGACGCCGCGAGCCCCTGGATCTGATCATGCGGCGCCAGCACTGGAGAACCTGAAATGATAACGCAATGGCAAAATGCTCATCCTATCCGCCACCGTGCCCCCTGGCACGTTGACGCCACAAACCCTCGAAAGAAAAATGCCACAGATTCGCGCCAAGATGGGCCCAAAGGGCCCCAAGAGGCCGCCAAAACGGCGGGCCCCGAGACGCCCAAAGATCGCCCCAAGACGCCCAAGACGGTCGCAAGACGGCCCCAGAGGCCGCCAAGACGGCAAAAGAGAGCCCCAAGAGGCGCCCCAAGAGACCCCCGAGGGGCCAAACTCGTCAATTGGCCGTTGGTTTTTGAAGGATTTTGGCTTTCTCGCCTTTTCGGCGTTCCGACGTTCCAAGACGGCCCAAGCGGCCTCCAGGACCGCCCCAAGACGGCCCAAGAGGCCCCCAAGAGGGCCCCAAGACGGCCCAAGAGAGTCCTAAGACTGCCCAAGAGGTGCCAAAGACGGCCCCAAGAGCGGCCCAAGAGGGGCACCACGAACCGACAATTCGACCTTTCCGCCCCAAGAGACCCCCAGGACGCCCCAAGACGCACCCAAGAGGCCCCGAGAGGCGCCCAAGAGGCCCCCAAGATGCCCCAAGAGACCCCCAAGAGGCCCAATGAGGCCCCAAGAGGCCCCCGAACGGGCCCAAAGAGGCTTCAAAACTGCCTCCCAGAAGCCCCCGAAAAGCCATATACGAGATCCCAACACACATACAAGAGGCCTCAGACCAACAACCCAGGCATCATCATCATCATCATCATCATCATCATCATCGTCATCATCATCATCAGCAGCATCACGGAGACAGGGGGGAAAATGGACGCTTAAGGACACGGAAAATCAGCATCATCATCAGCATCATCATCATCATCAGCATCATCATCAACAACAACATCAACAACATCATCAACAACATCATCTTCGTTATCATAATCACCCCCGAGACGGCTGAGGTGCCACGTGTCACATGTGACGGTTTTGGCCTCTGCCTCAAGGCCTCATCAGCGCCATCATCGTCAACGTCGTTGTCCGGCCCCAGACGGCCAAGGTGTCACATGTGACGGTGTCGGCCTGTGCCTCTGCAGCGCGGCCTCATCATATCGACAATGTCGTCGTTCGGCCCTGGACGGCCAAGGTGTCGCATGTGACGGTGTTGGCCTCTGCGTGACGGCCTCACTGCCACAAGACGAAAAGGTGTCACATGTGACGGCTTTCCTCTGCCTCCTCCTCTTCCTCCTCCTCCCCATCACCAGCGTCATCATCATCATCATCATCATCATCATCATCATCATCATCATCATCATCACCACCGCAACCAATAAATTTTATTTACCATCACCATCACCATCATCATCACCATCGGACCACGATTTTACACTACGTCGCAGGCTCGAGCATCCGTGTTCTCTCACGGTGGCGGGATTTGCCGCAGGCAGCTGGATGTCCTCCCTCATCCTCCCTCCTCCTCTTCCTCCTCCCCCCCCCCCTCCCCCACCCTCCTCAGCGGGAGGGCAGGGGCCAGGGATTCAGACGTGGGTCAGGGCGGGGGCAGGAAATCATGACGACGACAACGACGAAGGGCAAGGGAAAGCAGGAAGAGGAGCGAGCAGCGAGCAGCAGCAGCAGCAGTAATGACACATGAGTTTGGGTTTTGACGCCCCCAGTGACATGAAGCGGCAATCAAGAGCAGCTCAATCATGTAGTGGATGCGCAGCGACATGAACTGCTCCAGAGTGTCTGCAGTGGGGAACACACCTCCGGAAGCATATTCAACGGTGGACTTCTGCTCCTTTATGGCCAATGGCACCAACTGAGCAAATCGCACCCACCAGTGGGGGATGGCATCCAGCAGCGGGGCGGAGATCTGCGTCAGGATGGCTTCGAGATTATTCTTCACACCGACGTCCCAATGCACCATGTTGTTTGAAATGACAGAGCTCAGCGAGATGAAGGCGGGGTGCACGCGAGCTGGGAGCGCCGACATGAGATTGGACTTCACGAAGCTTGAAAGGTCCAGGAGCCCAGACTGCTCCTCCTGGAGGATGGCCGCGATCTGCGGCGTGTAGAACTTCTTAACCTCGGATCCTGCCCCTACGCCCGCCATCGCCGACCCAGCTGGCGCCGCCTCCTCAAGGTCATCCACCGCCAACAGGTGCAGGAGAGAGCTCGTGATCTCCTCGGACGAAGCATTCTCAAGGTCGCCAGCCAGGCCCGGGAGCTTCATCAGCGGAGTCGCATGGATCCTGATGATGTCGCCGCGAAGAGCCTTCCTGACGTGGCTCCACGCGACTTTGGTCTCCCCTGCGATCCAGATCTCACCCTTGAAGCAGAAACGAAGGCCATCGCGAATGACCAACGCGATCTCGGCGCGGTTGATGTCGTCTGCCTCGAGGTCTTTCAGGGGCGCGGTGATCACGGCCGCCAGGTCGTCGAGAAACAGTTTGTCCCGACCCATGGTCTCTAAGCTCATCACCTCTTCGTCCACTGTGAGCTTCGGCTTCTGCTGCTGCCTGACGTTGTCCTTCTTGTCCTTCTTCGCCACCTTCTTGGGCTCCTTGCGAGATTCCTTCGCAGCCCTCTTCTGACGAAGTTTCTCCTGCTTGTCATCCTTGTAGAGGACGGAGCCGCCCATCGGACAGATGAGCAGCCTGATCAGCTTCATCTGCATCTTGTCAAACAACCACTCCTCAGCCCCGGGCCTGCCATTGCCGCCAGACCCTGAATTCGCAGAACCCACATCGGCCAGCGGGACCATGAACCTCACGCACTCCTTGATGATGTCGGTAAGGAAGCCCTCGTCGATCGTGTCGCTGAATCTGGTGCGGAGCAGGTTCAGAACGTTGTAGTTGTTGAAGGCAACCACTTGGTTGGAGAGCCCTGGCCGAAGGAAGTCGCAACGCTCGCCGAGGAGGTCCTTGTACCACTCCCAGATGCCCATCTCCTTCATGGCATTCGCGAACGACCTCGCGTTGGTCAAGTGAGCGCCGTCCTCGAAGACGCCTTCGAAGTTCTCCAGCACAAACTTCTCGAACAGCTTAGAATATCGCAGGTCTCCGGAGCTCGGGCACCCATGCACCGTGATATTGTGCTTCGTCTTGTGCTCCTTCCAGGCAGCTTCGATGGTCTCGAGCTCGTTGTACCTGCGTACTGAGTTGCATATAAAATGCAACTGATATACTCCCCTCGACCGACTCTGGTTCAAACGTTTCGGATCAGAGTCAACTTGACTCTGATCCGAAACTCGAGTCAACTCTTCGTCGTCGTTGCCGTCACTTGACTCTGAGTCAAGTGACGGCAACGACGACGAAGACGGGGACGACGAGGGGCGATGAGGTTTCGAGGACCGCTATTGGTTTACAAATCGGTTGTGCTTTCAGAAAGGGGGCACATCTCGAGGCACGAGTACTTCGATCCACTGTGCCAGTTGTTATGCTCGTTCTTCACCCACGTGATGACGTCGTCTGGGGTCCTACTGTCGAACTCGATGCAGTTCGGGATGCCTGTCGCCAGCGCCCGCACGACGTGCGGGTTCTCTGGCTGCATGTTCTTGGCCACGAAGATGGAGTCGACCAAGGTCCCCCCGCCAATGATCTCCATCTTGCCGCCGTCCCCTGCGATGACGATCGGCGCGGCGCGCATGGCCGCCATCGCGCCGTTCTGCAGGACACCCCTTGCGTAAGTAAGGACGACCACCTTCTGGACCCTCTGGTTGAGCCTGTGACGAAAAGCAATCCGCTCACCTTTATCATCGACCAAGTGTAAGGTAGTTCTCTGAGGCTTGACGTAGGCCTTCTCGATCATATTCCATCGCATGCTACCAGTGACATCCTTGAAGCCCTCGCGGTCCTCAATGGTGGCCCGAGAACCGAACAATGCGTCCACCGCAGTCCCAGAATGCGTCGGGCCGGTCCCGGCCGTCGGAAAAGGCCCAGCGCTGCCAGTGGGCGCGGAGCCCGCGGCAGGGACTTTGACTTTGGTCGTGGGAGGACTGCTCATGATGACCTCAACGGGCTCTCCAGGAGCGATGAGGGCCATCGCGGCTTTAGCCGCGGCGGCCTTGGTAGCCGGGGCCGCGGGTCCCGACGCGCAGCTTGACATCTCAGCAGCTGAAGTGCAGAGAATTGTCACGAGTAGTCTGAGTACCGAACACCACGAGACAAGTTGTCTCCGCCCCAAAGACAACCGAAAACAAGCTGCGCCAAAATGGCTATGGGTGGGAAGGCGGACAAAGAGGGGAGCGTGTCAGCACGAGTAGCCGGAGGGCAGGAGGGGGGCGAAAAAGGAGGAGGAGGAGCAGTTGAGGATGAGGGAGTGCGAGAGGATGTCATCGCATGTGTTTCTGACTTTTGATTGATATCGTGAAATGTGCATTCCATGTGTGCTCTATTCGGGCTTGCGGTTTCGAGATAGAGGGGCAAGGCGGAGCGCGCGGATGCCGCGGGGTGGCAAGGAGTTGGGGGAGGGGGAAGTTGAGCAGGATGGTTGGATGGCTGGACGCTGCTATAGCGGAGGGAGGTGGTTTTGAATGAGAGGAGAGGAGGTGGCGGAGGAGGCCCCACATGGGCCCCATACTCGCTACCGCAGCGCACGGGACTGTGGATGTTGAGCCGCAGAGCGGGTTTCAAGAGTGACCGTTTCTCTTTCTTGCTTACTTGTTGTTTATTGCACCCGCAGGGCTTGGGAACGAACAGGGGAGGAATAGGAGGGTCAGAAGATGAGCGGCATGGCAACAGTAGCGCAGCATCTCACACCACAGTGCTGGCAGATGGCCTCTCCCGCCGCCCCCTGCTATGGCAGCGAACAGGGGGGGGGAAGAAGCGCGCCTCAGGGTCTACCAGCACCTCGAGGACTCCGAGGGTCCTAACCCCCAGAGCCTCCAGAGCCTGAAATTCACATCCTCGCAAATATGTTCCTGCCGTGCCCCCTACCTTCCTACCTTACTTGCTTTGCTGCTACTCCTCCCCTCCCCCCCTCAATGCACTCTTCTTAAATGCGATCTAAGCTCCGAGTCTAGGCTTCTTCGGAGCTGGGAGACCGACTTTGGAGTGCTGGCGCCGACCTCTGATCGGGCTGTTGCCACTCGTGCCGCTGTGGTTACTAGTTGCGCTATCTGACCTGCAGAGTGGCCGATGCAAGAGCACTGAACGCGCAGCGCCACCTGCGTACTGACTCAGAGCGTCCGCGACCCTATCAGCACTTGGCGGGCCCTGGGAAAGCCACCAGCAGAACGCCGTGCCCATGACAGCCAAGTGCATGGTGTTGCCTGCTTGCTCTATCATCACGCCCCTTTTTCTTGCGCGGAAGCCCTTGCCGAGCCTGTCTGCGTTGAAAGGGCAGAACTCGGCGGCTAAATCGTTCACCTTGCTGTAGGTGCCGAACCCTTGGGCTAGGGGGATCTCGCGCGGGCACATCCACCTCTGGTGGTGGGTGCTCCATGCGATCGCACAACCCTTCACGATAGTGTACAGCCACGTCTGTCCAAGTGTGTTCATGGGGTGCCCGATGGGATCTTGGCCCAAATCTACAACTGATCCTATGTCGGCATCCGTGTGGGCCTGTCGCTCCTGATTGATGTGTTGCTCCAGTCTGGTCTTCTCAACCGGGGTGAGCAAGTCGAAGAATGGAGTCGTTGACGGACCATCACAGCGATCGGTTGACCTTGTTTTTTGGGTTGCCCACGTCAGCTCGCTCTCTAGGTCGCCCTTCTCTGCAATGAAAAATGCGTGCCAAGTGATGTCGCATTCCCTGTGGAAAAGCACTGAGAATTCGGGCCAAGGCATTGGACTGGGAACGCTCTCTGTGACAGTCTTCTTGTGCCTCAGCCAAGTAATCCTCCGTTCACGCTGCACTGGATGGCCCAGCGCAAGGGGGCTGAGCACGATGGTCTCGATCAGGTATTCTTCTGGGGGGGGAGGGCGGGGGGGTGCTGGATAACCTGAAGAGTTGTTTTATTGCCGGGGGGGGCGAAAACCCGTGCAGCGACATATTCTAAATGTTTTAGAATACGAGTTGCCTTCAGAACCAATGTTTGATTGTTCTAGGGATATTTGGTCGACGTCGTCGAGCACGATTTTTTTTGCCGATGGGGTCGAGAACCCGTGCAGCGACGTGACCTATTTCCCTACCTAGGCTCTGCCTAGAAGTGTTCTTACTCTCTTAGCTTAAAGGGGCCGGGCAGTGGAAATCGCCCCGGGAGGTTCCCCCAGCCCCCGCCCCGCGGTTCCCCCAGTCGCGCCCCCTGGTTTCACCCAGCTTAGCTTAGCTTCAGCTTAGCTTTAGCTTAGCTTGAGCTTAGCTTTAGCTTAGTTTTAGCTTAGCTTTAGCTCAGCTTTAGCTTAGCTTTAGCTTAGCTTCAGCTTAGCTTTAACTTAGCTTTAGCTTAGCTTCAGCTTAGCTCTGGCTTAGCCTTGCTTAGCTCTAGCTTAGATTCAGCTTAGCTCTAGCTTAGCTTTAGCTTAGCTCTAGCTTAGCTTCAGCTTAGCTTTAGCTTAGCTTTAGCTTAGCTCTAACTTAGCGTTAGCTTAGCTTCAGCTTAGCTCTAGCTTAGCTTTAGCGTAGCTCTAGCTTAGCTTTGGCTTAGCTTTAGCTTAGCTTTAGCTTAGCTTCAGCTTAGCTTCAGCTTAGCTTTAGCTTAGCTCTAGCTTAGCGCCAGCTTAGCTTCAGCTTAGCTTGAGCTTAGCTCTAGCTTAGCTGCAGCTTAGCTTTAGCTTGGTTTCAGCTTAGCTTCCGCTTAGCTTTAGCTTAGCTTCAGTTTAGCTCTAGCTTAGCTTCAGTTTAGCTCTAGCTTAGCGTTAGCTTAGTGTTAGCTTAGCTTTAGCTTAGCTTTAGCTTAGCTCTAGATTAGCTTTAGCTTAGCTGCTAGCTTAGCTTTAGCTTAGCTTTAGCTTAGCTTGAGCTTAGCTTTAGCTTAGCCTTAGCTTAGCTTTAGCTTAGCTTCAGCTTAGCTGCTTCTTAGCTTTAGCTTTACTGTTACTACTAATGCTGCTTTCCTAGGGGCTCCAACTTCTAGGTAGGGTCGCACTGGAAAAATCTAAAAAATGTTAGACTAGGTCGGGCGAGCTGCCTTGTAGAATAGGTCGGACGAGCTGCTGTTTGACCTACCTACAGCTCGAATGGGTCGGACGAGCTGTAGCTAGGTCAAACATATTCTATTTGTTTTAGAATATGTTTGATTGCATTTGGAATATTTGGACGACGACGTCGGGCGCGACTTGAGGGCCCGCGTTCGAGCCCGAAATGGACGGGTGCAACTCCAGGGGTCTCTTAGGGCCTACCTGGAACACCCTGGGGCCAGTCTTGAGGCCGTTTTTGTGGCCGTCTCTTCGGGCCCCCAATGGATGCTACAACGCCAACGCACCCCCCTGTTGTAGCATCCGTTGGTCCGTTGGGGGGCCCTCTTGAAGCCTTCTTGGAGCTTTCCTTGCGTTTGACGTGATCCCCTGCGGTCCTCCGAGCATCATGTCTAACAAATTGACTGGGAACTCGGGCACGTTCTCGTGTAGGATCCCGTCCTCCTTTATCAAGAGCCTCTGCGAGCACCACGCCAAGAAGCACAGCAAGAACTCGAGGTCATCGACGCCAACCTGGGGCCCCTGCGGAGACCACACCACGCACGGAGTACCTGCTGTGTGCAAGCGGCAATACAGCGCGTCGCACTCCTTGCAGTGGATGCGACAGCGGGCCTTAGACTTGATAGCCATACCTGATTTGAAGATCTTGACAATGTCATCGAATTTCATTCGGGCTCCCTGGGATTCGAGAACTCGTCTGACCTTCGGGTTGACAAAGTCCATCATATCCTCGAACACGCAGGTCGGGGCACAGTCGTGGCACATCAACTCCACGCGGCTCTCTTCCCGTTTCTCGATCGCGAACTTGTTCTCGCAACGCAGCGTCGTGCCCACTGCATCCCCCAATCTTCGGAGGACCATGCCGAGGGCCGCCTCCGGGGCCCCGACGCCACTGAACGCAGAGGAATGCGTCATATCATGCGCAACTTTAGCCAAGCCCTCTAAACCAGCAGGCGCCGCAGAGGCATTGTTTGAGAGAACGGCCAAATTGTGCTCTGTCCACCGAAAAGCATCCTCTAACGATTTCACAGTATTGCAACGCTGGACTGGAAGTAACGGTCTACTCATGGCTAGCACTGCAGCTCGGCGCTCGGCCGCGCGGGCGGCACGCAGCCGCCAGACAGTGGGTTGAGCCAAAACAGGCTAAGGAGAGACAGTACACTTCAAGTTGAAAGCTCTATATGCACACCCCGTTGGGAACATCGTCGGGCTTCTGCCTGGAAATACGAAAGCTATATCGGTTTAAATGCTTGCACGTGCTATGAAATATGAGCAGCGGGCGCCCGTTTGAATTCAATCATTGCAGACGCTGCACAGCCCGAAAACGCACGAATTCCAAACCGATTCCAATTCGACGCTCAACAAATGTGCTGAAAACTTGGTCCGGGGCACCACTATGGGTACTTAGCGCACGCGGCCCAGCACGCACAATCGCTTACCACGCATGGCATTATCCAAACCAGAATTGAAACATAATGCGAACAAACCACCACAGTTGCACGCAGTGCTGATGTTCAAAGACTGGCCCAAAGAAGAGCGTTGCAGTAACACCTGCTTTGCGAAGGCCGCCGAAGAAGCTTCGCAGCTGGACTGACAAGGTCAGCACCTGCACAGTCGAGCTGTGAAGGGCCCTTATGGGCCCTTCACAGCTGAGCTGTGAAGGCCATGACCTTCACAGCTGAGCTGTGAAGGTCATGGCCTTCACAGTTGAGCTGTGAAGGGCCCTTCTGGGGCCTTCACAGCTGAGCTGTGAAGGTCATGGCCTTCACAGTTGAGCTGTGAAGGGCCCTTCTGGGGCCTTCACAGCTGAGCTGTGAAGGTCATGGCCTTCACAGTCGAGCTGTGAAGGGCCCTTATGGGGCCTTCACAGCTGAGCTGTGAAGGTCATGGCCTTCACAGTCGAGCTGTGAAGGGCCCTTCTGGGGCCTTCACAGCTGAGCTGTGAAGAGCCCTGACCCTATGATAAGAGACTCACGACTGCGAAGGGCATAGCCAGCCTTTCACAGCTTTGAAAACGTTGACATTCGCAGCTCACTTACGTTCGCATTCGAGCGATGGTTGTGGTGTGGAATGCCATGACGTTGTCATTCTTGTGGTGTCGAAATTGCATTGCGTTGCTGTTGAGCGTTCCGCTGCGCACGCAAACGCTGGTTTGGCTTAAGCGTTGATGTGCAATTGTTGGCGTCCGTGTTGCATTTGCGCCACAACTTACATGTATATACACGCCGTGCATGTTGTTTGGGTTGCGCGCGTTCTCACCATGTTCAGCGCATGCACATGCCATCATGTCTACTCAGGCCAAGTAATTGCCTCTGACCTCGCTTTCTCAGCACACAAGCTAAGGACATATTCTGATCAAATAAGCCCATCGCTCTCAGCGATCATGCTATTTGTCGTTCAACATGTTTGCCGAGCGTCACCGAGCGTGGGGTTGTTTTACGTGCGCTACTTAAGTTTGTAGTGAGAGTGGTGCAATATACTTGATCAGACAATATGTGCATCGGCTGAAGATCCCGCGAAGGTGCGCAACAAACGTATTACACCACGATAGATATTAGTTTGCACTTGAGCTTATCACACGAACCCCCCATACACGGACACATACATGTGATCTTGTAGTGAACCCCTCAAGACTCAAGGCTCTGACTTCCTCAAAACTCAAGGCTCCAAGGGTTGACCCAACAATCCTCAGAAGTGTTGCCACGAGGCCCCCAAAAGACCTACCGCGAGATCCCGAGGAACATTCAACAGCCTTCTGACCCACAACACAGGCACTGTGATGGGACTGGCCGTAGGCCCGTAGGCCACGGGATAGCGAAGGCGCGCGTGCGTCACCACATGGGGGAGCGGGTGAGAGGTGCTGCCATGCCCGGGGGCCCTAGAGGGTCAGCGGATACCGTTGTGATGCATGCGTTGCCGCCTCGTGGCTCTAGCTGGGAGCGAGATCGGCCGACCCCGGGCCGACCCCCATCGCCCCCTCGGACCTGGCCGAGGTCAACCGGCATGCAGGCGCCCTCCCTTTCTCATGTTGGGTTTGGAGCAGAGGGACCAACCAAGAGTGGGCAGTCTGGCAGTCTGGACAGTGGGCGGAACGGGGTGACCAGCCCGGCTGAGCGGCTGAGCTAAGCAAGCGCGGCACGCGCGGCAAGGATGAGGAGCGAGCAGAGGATAGAAGAGGAATGCACGTTTGTGTTCTCGCACGCCGTTTGCGTCTTAGTCTTAGGCCACGCTAACCTAAGCCATCCTGTAGACGATCAAGGAGGACGAAAGAAAAAAACGGATTTCCCAGAATCAGAGTTGGACCAACTCTGATTCTGGGAAATCAGTTCTCTTCTTTGGTCGTGGAGTCGACGTCGTCGTCGTCGTCGTCACGTCGTCGTCGTCATCGGGGTCGTCTTCGCGGCCGTCGTCGTCGTTGTCGTTGTCGTCGTCGTTGTAGTTGAACCCATTTCGGGCCCGAACGCGGGCCCTCAAGGCGTGCCCGACGTCGTCGTCCAAATATTCCAAGTGCAATCAAACATTGGTTCTGAAGGCAGCTCGTCCGACCTATTCTAAAAAATTAGAATAGGTCACGTCGCTGCACGGGTTCTCCACCCCATCGGCAAAAAAAATCGTGCTCGACGACGTCGTCGTGGATGTCGACGTCGACGTCGTCGTCGTCGTCGTCGTCGTCGTCGTCGTCGTCGTCGTCGAGGTCGTTTTCGAGGTCGCCATCGTCGTCGTCGTCGTCGAGGTCGTCTTGGAGGTCGTCGTCGTCGTCGTCGTCGTCTGCGTTGAATGTAGGAGGGCCCGGGTCCTGGTGGCATCTGCGGGCCCAGGTGCCCAGAAACCCAGGAGTAGGAGTTGGGGAAAGGAGGGGGGAGGAGGAGTTGCCGCTGCCGACGTTTCCCGGGCAGGCGGCGCGGCGGCGCAGCGCTGCGCAGGGGCGGCCTCCAGCGGCCTCGCTGGGCTCTGGACGGGCAGGCGAGCTCGCGGCAAGCTGACCTTGCCTCGCCCCTGCGCCTCCCTCTGAGGAGCGAGACTCCTCCCTCCTCCCTCCTCCCTCTGAGGCGTGCGTATTCTCCCTCCTCCCTCCTCCCCTCCTCCTCCCTCTGAGGCGCGCGTCTCATCCCTCCTCCCCCTGAGGCGCCTGCTCCCTCCTCACCTCACCTCCCTCCTCCCTCCTCCTTCATAGAGCCTCTGAGGTCATATATTCAGAGCAAGGATGCGACGGGCCATAGCAGGAACATCGCAAAACATCAGCAGTCCGCTGATTCAGCGGACGAGAAAACAGCACAAGTAGCAGAAATATGAATTCGCATCCTCAGAGCTCTTGAAAACGCCTGGCAACTCAGCCACGACCGACTGGGGAGGCAGGGGCGCTTTGTGACGCTCACTCACGCAGGCCAAGTTTCGGCAGCAGAGCGGATGCATATACATCAAACAAAGGGGACACTGCACTGGCGCCGACGCATCAGCGCCACCATCGCAAACGACGCACGGGGCGATGGAGCCGGAGCCCGCGTCAGCGGCAGTGCCTGACTTGCTCTGCAGAGCAACGTTCCACATATCCATTAACCTAACCATAGGCCCAGGCAGATATGGTTGAAGGTGGAATGGTAACTTCTCCATCCTCATACTTACGTCCGGGTGCACAACAACGCACTCTCTGAACACCCGAGCTTTGAATGGGAACTTACCCTTGGCGGTTGAGAATCCAGCGGCAGAGAAAACGACCTGGGGGCGTCTAGCAAACGATGAGCCTATGGACTGTGGCATCCGCTCCTGACTGCTGTAAAACCTCCTCCTCCCTCGCCCCCTCCTTTCCCCAACTCCCACTCCTGGGTTTCTGGGCCCCTGGGCCCGCAGATGCCACGAGGCCCTGGGCCCTCCTACGTTCAACGCAGACGACGTCGACACGTCGACGATGACGACGACGACGACGACGAAGACGGCGACGACCACGACGCGACGACGTCGAGACAACGACGACGACGACACAACATCGGGCCCAGTGGGCCAGCGGGTCCAGGGGAGGGGATGGGGGCGAGGGGGGGGGAGGGAGGAGAGGACATAAAAAGGAGGAGGAGAGGCAGAGGATGGGGGACTTGTCGGAGTTGCTTCCCTCCCCAGCCTGGCCCGACCGGAGATTCACTATTTGGCCATAGTGCTTAGATGCGTTGTGCCAGTTAGCCAACGTAACCCTCGCAAGGCCATCCATCTCCTCATCAGAAAATTGAATGATAGACATGTTGCCTTTCTTCTTAATAGTGTGCAAGGGTATCGATTCTACGGCGATCTGTCTGTTGCGGAGGATGGACAACGACTCTAGAGCACTCTCAATCCATTTTGTATAGATGTTCACCATCTCCTCTGGAGGAGTCACTGGAGGAGCTGGCTGCGGGGCAGGGTCCCCGGCGCCGACGGAAGCAGCAGCAACGTGTAGTGCATGCCCGACGTGTGCGTCGAGCCCTGTCTTCGTCTCGTCATTGTCATCAATCTCGATTTTGAGGCCTGTCATGACTAGATCGAAATGTTTGTCGAAATCTTCATGGGCGAGCGCCTTGCACGCCATAGTAAATTCTGTCTTGTCCAGGGCCGCCTGTTCTTTCAAGAACTGTTTGTCCACCCCCTGGGGCGCCCCATCCAGACCAACAGGGTCCTCGCCCGCGCCACTCGCATCTTCGATGAGATCCATCAAAGCTGGCCCCGCCGGAGGCTCATCAACGTCGTGATGGTCGCCATCGACAAGTGCTGCAGCGGCTGGGGCGCCTGGTAGCGCAGCGTCTTCTGCCCGTTTCCGAGGGCGCTTCTTTGGCCTGGGGTCGGATCAGCAATCTGCCCGTTCCAACTGGGCCCCAGGGGAACGGCCCATCGGCTTTCTAGACCAGGTTCCAGGTTCCAGCCGTGGCGACGAGGAGGGCGGCCCGAGGAGCATTCAGAAACGCCAGCAAAACATCAAAGCCAGCAATGTTCGATCAGGCTATCGTCTGTCGTTCTAACTTTCTTTCTCTCTCTCTCTCTCTCTCTCTCTCTTTCTCTCCCTCTTTCTTTATTTCCCTCTCTCTCTACCTCTCTCATTCCCTACCTAGGCTCTGCCTAGAAGGGTTCTTACTCTCTTAGCTTGAAGGGGCCGGGCAGTGGAAATCGCCCCGGGCGGCCCCCCCAGCCCCCGCCCCGCGGTTCCCCCAGTCCCCTGGGAGCTTTAGCTTTAGCTTTAGCTTTAGCTTTATCTTTAGCTTCAGCTTAGCTTTAGCTTCGCTGCAGCTTAGCTTTAGCTTAGCGTTAGCTTTAGCCTAGCGTTAGCTTGGCTTCAGCTTAGCTTTAGCTTAGCTTCAGCTTAGCTTTAGCCTAGCTTTAGCTTAGCTTTAGCTTAGCTCTCGCTTAGCTGCAGCTTAGCTTCAGCTTAGTGTTAGCTTAGCTTGAGCTTAGCTTCAGCTTAGCTTTAGCTTAGGTTTAGATTAACTGCAGCTTAGCTTCAGCTTAGCTCTAGCGTAGCTTAAGCTTAGCTGCCGCTTATCTATTTAGCTTAGCTTTAGCTTAGATTTAGCCTAGCTTTAGCCTAGCTTTAGCTTAGCTTTTGGTTAGTGTTAGCTTTAACTTAGCTTTAGCTTCGCTTTAGCTTAGCTGCAGTTTAGCTTTTTAGCTTAGCTTTAGCTTATATTTAGCTTAGCTTTAGCTTAGCTCCAGCTTGGCTTTAGCTTAGTTTTAGCTTAGCTTTAGCGTAGCTTTAGCTTGGCTGCAGCTTAGCTGCAGCTTAGCTTTAGCTTTAGCTTATCTTTAGCTTAGTTTCAGCTTATAGTTAGCTTAGCGTTAGCTTAGCCTTAGCTTAGCTTCAGCTTAGCTTAGGTTAGCTTTAGCCTAGTTTCAGCTTAGCTTTACTGTTACTACTAATGCTGCTTTCCTAGGGGCTCCAACTCCTAGGTAGGGTCGCACTGGGATAATTATCTCTATTTCCGTCGCTCACTTCCTCCCTCCCTCTGTCTAATCACTCCTCTCCCTCCTCCATCCCTCCCCTCATCCCTTCATCCCTACCCTGCCCCTGTCCCTTGCCCCCTCTCAGGTTCACACATCAGGTGGGCCTCCCCTGTGCCGCGGGCTCCTTCTCGAGTTTGCAAAGTGCACTCGGCCTCTCCTTAACGTATGCCCCACGCATGTCAACTTTGGTATCAGCCCACATCAGAACAGGGACCGTGTTATCAGTTTGGCAATGAGAGTACTGGTCCGCGAACAAATCGAGAGAGGATCTAATGCATGGTGGCTGGGAGATGGTGGAATCAAGTGGTTGCATCAGCGGGTCCTCAGATTCGTCGTGAGGTTGCCTGTGCGAGATGTCGCAGCGAATGAAGTGCCCAGTGTATTTGTAAGTGGAACAGCACAGCCAGCCAATTGTAGGTTGATTCCCAAATCCGCCACCGTGCCCCCTGGCACGCTGAGGCGTGCTAGAATGCTAGAATGCCAAGTGCTGATCTGGTAGGGTTTCTGGAAAGGGGCCTCCCCCCCTCCCGACGCACTTCACTGCGCGCGCCGCCCCGACGCCACAAACCTTCGAAAGATACCACATATTCGCGCCAAGATGGGCCCAGAGAGGCCTCAGACCGACAACCCAAGCATCATCATCATCATCATCATCAGCATCATCATCATCATCGTCATCATCATCAACAGCAACATCACCAACAACATCATCAACAACACCATCTTCGTCGTTATCAGAATCACCCCCCAGACGGCCGAGGTGTCACCTGCGACGGTTTTGGCCTCTGCCTCAAGGCCTCATCAGCGCCATCATCGCCAACGTCGTCGTCTGGCCCCAGACGGCCAAGGAGTCACACGTGACGGCGTCGGCCTCTGCCTCTGCAGGGTGGCCTCATCATCGCCATGATCGACGACGTCGTCGTCCAACCCCAGACGGCCAAGGTGTCGCACGTGACGGCGTTGGCCCCTTCGTCGCGGCCTAAATGCCACAAAACGAAAAGGTGTCACATGTGTCGGATTTCCTCGTCCTTCTCCTCTTCCTCCTCCCCATCACCACCGCCATCATCATCATCGTCACCACCGCCATCAATATATTCTAGTTACCATCATCATCTCCATCAGCATCACCATCGGACCACGATTTCCAATTGCGTCGCAGGCTTGGGCACCCGCGCTCCCTCGCACAAGCCGCCCATACAACTGGGTTGGCAAGGTGGCGGGATTGCCGCAGGCAGCTGGATACAATACAAGTCCCGCAATCATCATCATCTGCCTCTTTTTGTTTCCTGAACCATATTTTATTGCATCCCGAAGCCCATTCCAATGCCAACATGTCGCGATACTCAATCTTCAGTTCGGGCAGGGGTTCTTTGAATACGGGCGGCACCGACCATCTGCCTTTGAGCTGCAGCACGCTGTCGGATTGGTCAATGTGTTGGACGGCGTCGTCGATGAGCGTGTCCGCAAAGGGTTTAAATGTGCTCCATTTTTGCCCATACATGCCCCGGCTACCAAGTCCAACTTCTTTTCTGAGGGACACTCTCGCGTCTAAGAGCGGAAGTGATATCTTCGGGGCCCTGCTGATGGCCACCTGTATGAGATTGTTCACTCCCTCCACCTCCTGCGTGTCTGCCCTCCAATGTAACGCGAGGAAACGCATGCATGTGTACAGCGTCGTCGGGCATGTGCCTGTTCCCGAGGCCTCCAGAATTTCAGCGCCGAAAAGCATATGTAATTTTGTTGCCGCTGGCCCTGTGGCAGATCTCCCAACATCACGTATCAGATCGGCGCAAACTCGTCGTCGCTCGTCACACACTTCGAAGGGGCCTTTGTAAGCAATCCATAGTAGGCAGAAGGGGTACCCTCGGATGACGTCTACAAACCTGCGGGTGAAGTCAGCATACAGCCTCAATACTCCCTTATGTATCATATTCCAAACTTTGCGAGCATGGATAATTGTCACCTCGTCTAAGATATCTGCCCATTCTTCCCTGTCAAGCAGTCTCTGGATCTCGCCTAACACCGCATCGACCCTGCCGAGCCCGGGCCGCTTGCTGTCCCCGAAGACCTCATATAATCAGAATCGCGGGCGAGGAGAGACTCAGCGGTCACGCCGAGTCCCATCGTCTCCTTCTCCTCATCCTCCTGCTCCTCCTCCTCCTCCTCCTCCCCCCTCCTCCTCCCCGTCCTTGAATCCCATGGGCCCGAACACTTTGAACGTCGTGTTATTCTACTTTCTCGAGCCCGATCGCCCGATCGCTACCGAACCAACGACTGAACAAAGTCAGCCTCCTCCCCTCGCCCCGGCTACCCCGTGGGGCCCCTGGGATTTCGCTAGAGGCCCCGGCGACCAAGACCGCCAAATTTCCAGGTTCTATCCCGTATTCCCTTCTCTGCTTGATAATGTTGAACAAGTGGTCTACAGGGCCCTTCAGCTTTTGAGATATCTTCATTGCAATCCAGAAATTGCGGTCGCATACGCATTCGAAGGCAGAGAGAATCCATTTCGACATGCGTTCCTTATAATCGTCCCTATCCTCAGTGGCCAGCTCGGCGATGCCAGACTGCTTGCCTGCGGACGGGCGGGGGCGCTCGGCATTGCAAGAATGCGGTGGCTGGGGTCCAGGAAGGGACGAAGAAGCAGCAGCGTAGACATGGAAGGGAGGGAAGTGGGATGGGCAGAAGCGGACAACATGCAGCGCAGGCGGGCCGAGCTGGCCACCGAGGATAGGAGCGATGATGGAAGCTGAGGGGGGGAGGGGTCGCAAGCTAGATCTGATCCCTGGGGCCCCCCCTGGGGCCTTCTATGGCCGGCAACCCTTGGCCACCCCTCTTGAACCCATGGGCAAGTGTGAACTCATTTGTGGGTTTGCGGGTCCCGGGGCCTTTCTTCTCGCCTGCAATTTTCGAGGTCTCCTTCTCTGGGTCGAACACAGCCTTGAAAACAATCTGGGCCTCTTTCGGATCGCACTTCAGAACGTACTTCTCGCAATCGGATATCGCCCCCCAGCGGCCCACCAGTGGTTTAGGAGGTACGGTCCTGCAACTTCTCACTGCCGACGTTTTTGACACTTTGGAGGCCCACGCATTGAAAATCGACGCCGCGTTAGACCTCCAAACATGCATCAACCTCCCAAGACTACTCCAATAGAAGTTCTTCATACCCAGAGCCAACATTATCTTGTCCATGAAGACCATCTGGCCTTTCACGACCAGGTGGGCTTGATGCGCCAGGCAGTTCCCGTCAAAGAATATGTCGTTAGGTCTCGAGTCGTGGTTGAGAGACTGTCCCATCAGCTTCCGGGCGTTGGCCTCGTCGCTCCCTGCGTCAGTGCAGGAAGTCCAGATGTTCACGTGTCTGTGGTATTCGGCGTCGGGGTCGTCGGGATTTGGTTCGGGTGGCTCTGCGACGACGAGGGGGCGGTCGACCTCCATCTCATCCTCACCCCCTCCGTTCTGCCCAGGCGGCGCAGCTGGTGGAGCATCTGCGGCAGGGGCTGCGGCATCTGCCAGGGGCTCCAGCGCGGGCTGCTGCTCCTGCCCAGGCTCATCCTCACGTTCACCTGGCTGGTCGAGGATTGCTTTTAGTTCCGAGAGATGCTTGCGCGCTTTACCTGTCATGTAGTGCTCCAGGGGGTTGCCGACCGACGTGCACTGCTTCACAATCATACCTAGAGTGCCCCTGCCCGTGCCCTTGCCTACCACTTGAATGTCTCCCAATATCTTCTTTGCGGCAACGTTGCTACACACAGTTTCCCACGAGTCGTTGCGCATAACAGGGGTCGAAACAAATACTGACGATATCTCAGTGACGTGCAATTTTTGCTTTTGCCATATCGCTGCGTTAGTTGCATCTCCGCGGAGATTGTGCATTGAAAAACACCATCCTCTTTCTGCTGCGCGTCGCCGTCTGTTAAAATCTATGATGGCATACTCATGTCGCAACCAGTTCCTATAAGATGCCAGCCTACATGCTCTCAAGACAACTTCCCATCTCCTAATGGTCGAGCCGTGGACGTCAAGGCCGAGCGCCATGCCCATCTGCGCAGCTGCTGTGTTGGACATTGTTCGGCGGAGGGCTACCTGCAGCCCCCCGCGGACCGAGAAGTATCTGTCGGCCGTGCCCTTCTTAAGTGTCTGACCTCTGAGCTCTTGTTTGAGTTCTCGGTTCCTTGTCCTCAAAGCGTGTGCTTTCAATTTCCAATCGGCCTCCCTCCTCCTGGCGTTCTTCAACTCTGCCTGGGCATTATGCAGCTCCTCGCGGAGGGCACGAATCACTTCTGATTGGTCTGCGCGGGCGTGGCCGCCGTGGCCGTCGGCTCTCGCGGCAGCGCCCTCTGTCACAGGCTCCAGCAGCACCAGCGGCCGAGGCTCCTGGGGTACGAATGTCAGGAAATGTCCAAGAGACGTAACGTATCTTGGACATTTCCTGACATTCGTCTCTGAGACGTTGCCACTTAAGGGCTCGGGGGCTCGGGGTCCAGGAAATTGGGGCGCCCAGGAAAGGAGCATCGGGGTCGATATTATCATCCAGACAAGTGTGATATACGTTTTGTGTCATGCTTCTGTTTGTTGGACTGGTGCCCCTGGGAGACGGGAGACCCCAAGTGGCCCCAGGGATCGTCTTCGTGACAAAGACGAAGACTCTTCGTGACGAAGAGTCTTCGTCTTCGTCCTCGTCGTCGTCGTCGTCGTCTTCGTCTCGTCGTCTCCGGGCCCAAGGACTCCCAAGGACATGGCGTGCGCCCGCGTGCGCGCGCGTGCGTGTAGGCGCGCGTGCATTTTTTGGGTGGGATTGTATTTACACAGCCCGTTAGTCCACAACCGCGAGATGCGAATATACAGCTGAACGCACAGCATTCCAATTGTAGGCGTCATCGCTCAACGTGCTCAGCTTGAGTATATCTTCGAAAACATCGATGTGAAGCAATCCCTCCGTCACGCGATGCCCCTGAATAACATTCCGCTTCAGCAGAGCTGGCTTCGCGAGGTCGGCGACGTTGCCGCAATCTCGCAGATGTGAGAGGGCCTGCAACACGGCGTTCTCTTGAACGCACACCACTGACTTGTCGGCAGAGGGTCGGCAGTGCGCTCGGAAAGCTAAAAAAAGCCTTCTGTCCAAGAAGCTCAAGGAGGGCCCCGAGGAGCCTGAGGAGGGTGCTCCCCCTTGAGCCATCACGGGCTGCGGAAGGAAGGAGAAGGAGCGGAGGACTGGTGTAGTAGGCGCGAGGACGATAACTCGGCATGGGAAGGAGGATCGGCATCAGCAGGGAGAAGGAATAGGAGGAGGAGGCAATACCCCTTGGCGTTCTGATCGGTTCGAGCCCGGGAGCCCCCAGGAGCCATCCAGCCCCGCCCAAACTGTTCTTCACTCCCACAACATAATGACACATTGCACGGCATTTATCCGTTGATGGTTGGGCTCGAAGTCACTCGATACACAGTGCGTGTTTGGATAATGTGCGAATTCGAATATGGCGATGACATACACGTGTGTATATATATACACATATATATATACACGCATTCAACGAAACGGTGTTGCCTGTAAGAAAGCCTTTTGCACGTTCGATTTTACTTGCTAATCCCACCGACGTTGCCATACTCGGCTTCACGGAAACAACGCATTCCTGCTATATGGACAGTCCCCAATGCAGAACATATGGAGTCGATAGATCGCACAATCGGTGCGACTACGTACGCGTTATCAACCGACGTGACGAATACCGCAACAATGTAATACACGTACACAACCAACGTATACTTCGACAGCACATACAACACATACGCGCGCACACGACCAATGCGATACATGTAACGCACACAAACACTAGCGTTAACGCGTCGGCGCGTAGCCGTGATATGTTTAAGTTGGTCGTGGTACGCATGCACATTTATATGTTTAGCCAATACGTCAGACAGTTCAATACTAAGTTGTGTTTGGTTGTTTCAGGGCCCCTGTCATCACATGCATATATATACAGAAAACTGTGTTTTATTGTGCATATATTATATTACTGCGATCGCCACACATATATATGTATGTATGTATTCACGACGGTGTATATATATATGGCGAGATATATAAATATATATGTATAAATATAAATATATATATATGTGTGTGTGTGTGTGTGTGTGATCGACGGCCTGATTATACATATCTGTGTATGTGTATATATCACACATAATACAGACGACCCATTATGTGTCCATTCACAATCAACCTTCGCCAACATAATACAATGACGACAGACTCCCAGGGGACGCGCATCCCCAGCTCTTCCCCCTTCCGCGCTTCCGACACTCCTTTTGGCTGCGATCTGGCTTGAGGCGATCCATCGACGGCCGTGAGTGTCTCATCCGGTACGGTACAAGGTGCGGCATGGCCAGCGTCTTGGCGACAGTCTTGAATTCCGCCAAGAAAGTGAGATAATCGACGGACCACAGCCGGCCGCCCTTCTCCTTCAAGACCTGGAGGAGGTCGTGCACCCACGACAGCATGTAGGCCGAGTCGATGATCGGCGAGTCGTCCGCATCCCCAGTCTTGCTCCTCTTTTCCTCCTCCGAAGGATGCAAAAGGAGGCTCCAGTACCGCGACACCGGCGACGTCGGGGCCACCAGGTTGTCCGAGGTAAGGTCGAGGAGCTCTGAGGGCCTGAGGTAGCAGCTGACTCCGTTCATCACGGCGAGACCCATGGCATGCATGCCCCGCCTCGCAAACCCCACCGCGATGGCCTACCAGACTGGCAGGGGAGCGGGCGACCTGCCGTCGAGACCCTTCTCCATCTCGTCGGCCGTAGTAGTGCCATCGCTGTCCACGTCGGCGGCCGCGCCGGTGGCAGCGGCCGTGACTGCTGCTGTAGCCCACGCGGGCCCCTTGGCCGCCAGAGTCACCAGAGACCCTCTTGCCATGGGCACCTTCCCAGTATCCAGCTTCGAGCGTATCTCCGGTCGCGGCAGGGTTCGCGTCCTCGTTGGCCCCGGGGTCGCTGAAGGCGGACAGGAAGTCGTCGTCGGACGCGCACTGGCCGTCGTGCGCCGGCTCTCCTGGCCAGCGATGGTGTGGCTCGGCGCCTCCAGGGTGCGAGTCCGCTTCATGGCAATCGTGGAATACGGTGCAGGCGAGAGAATCAGGGGTCTCGGGCGATTCGGGAACTTGAGCCGGCACGCCGTCGGATCGAGGTAGATCCGCAGGCTGAGGCAGGACGTCTCCGGGTCCGTGTCCGTCAGCCACCAGGCGAGTGGGATCCTTCGTGGAGTCGTAGTTGGGGTCGTAGATACGGGACCCAGCGTCGCTACTGTTGAGCTCTGAGGGATGCCACCTGAACCCAAATCGAACCCCATCGGGCCAGAGCGTAGGCCGCGATTCGTCTGATCTGCACCAAGAGCCCGAAGCTGCGGGCCCGAAATCTTTCACAAGCCAATATAACTGACATATTATTTCCCAATAGCAATACTCTGCAGAATCCACCTGGAACACAATTACAAACTCTTGCGACAGCTTTGACAAGGACGCGGGCCTCAATAATCAGGATATCCTCGGAGTAGGCCCACTTGCCATGTAAAATCAAGCGCCACCGATCCCCGTGGAGGAGGGCCCCAGGAATCTCGGGGAAGTCCTCACGCATCTCCCAGGCACCAGCCTCCCGAGCGTCCGAGGGGTCACGCTCTTTCTCATCGTCGACCTGCCAACGATCGGTGGTGGGTGAGTAGACGAACCCCGCGGCAGCGAGGGCACTGGCCCGAGCCCGCAACCCTCCGAGACGACGGAAACGAGATCGTTCGAGGATCCTGCCCTGCTTTTTCACCGTCGACACTCCGAACTCGGAGCTGGCAATCCCCCAGCCGTACGGGCTGGCGTCCACGGACAGTACCTGCGTGAGCCACGGCCGATCCCACTCGGAGCGAAGGGGCGGCATCAGCCCGAGAAAGCACTCGAGCTCCTGACGCGCGGACTCCCACACGTCGCTCTTGGCCCAGCACCGCTCGCGGATGAAAGTGTAGACGGTGTGCCACGCGGACAGGGTCTCCCGGCACATCAAGCCAACGAATTTACAGTGGCCAAGCAATACTTCGAGCTCTCGCCCCGCCAGGCGCCGCAAGGAGAGGGCCCGCCGGAGGCCCAGTCTGACCTTCCAGTAGCGCCGATGGTTGACGAGGGTCTGGTGCTTCTGGCCATCGAGCGTCACTCCCAGCGCCTCGGCCGCGTCGGAGTCCACCGAGATGTCATGCATGATGAGGCCCGCGGCGTCGAAGGCCGCGACGGTGTCCGCCAGAGCCCCCTTGACGTAGGAGGCGTCGAGCGACAAGAGCCCCACATGGTCGACGTATACGTAGTGCCAGGAGGACGTCGGAGACAGCACGATAGGAGGCCCCCGATCGGTAGCCGCGCAACTCGACGCGACCGCGGGGACCCGTTCCACCAGGCCGAGGTTGGCCACCTGAGCGAAGTAGAGCGACCACGTCCAGCCCATGGGCAGCGCGAGGGCGCACGGCCAGAGGTAGTCGCCCGCGCGAGCGGGCACCCCTTCCACCAGCTGCCCGACGATGCCAAACTCCTTGGCCAGGCCGCCCGGGTAGCAGAAGTACTTGGAGAGGTGGTTGCCGAACATCATGCGGTGGAAGCAATCCTTCACGTCAGCTTTACCCGGGAAGATGGGCAACGTGCCGGTCTGTTCCGTGTCGCACTCGATCCGACCAAGCCCCTCTGTCGACAGCAGCTCGACTCCAGGAGGGGTCACGAAACGTTGATTGGAGCGGCGACAGTCGAGCACCATCCTCATGGAGGCGCGCTCCTTCTTCCAGACGAAGAAAACACCTACGAACTCCTTGGGATCGCGGGTGAAGCCCACCAAGCCTTTCCGCTTCAGGTCCTTCACGAAAGTGGAGTACCGGCGGCGGCTATTGGCGAGCAGGGGGTCGGTGTAGATCTTGATTTCACCATTCGTCTCACGGTCAAGCTGGACCTCAGCATCAGTCCTGATCATCTGCTCCTCTGCCTCTACCAGATACTCGAGGGCGCGCCCCGTGACCAAGGTTCCCACAGCCGGGGCCGTCGAGACGTCACAGGGAAGAGAAACCGCGCCCCGTTGGTAGGGTGCCAGGGTAGTGTAGGCCGTCTCGGTGTCGTAGACCCCGCGGCCTCGAAGTAGCCCCTGGAAGGCCTCCTTCGGAGAGAGGTCGGAGGGTGGGTCCAGGTAGATCTGGACCCCCTGGGCGATTCGCACCAGCACCTCCCGTTGAAGTCGAAAACGGTATGGATGGACGTCGCCTTGAGCACGTCGAGCGGCCTCACGATGTCCAGCACCCCACAACCAATTTAGTGAACGCACACGCTGCCCCCAGTCCCTCGCGAACCGGCGCTGGGCACGCCCCTGAAGGTGGATCCAGAATTCCGCGACGAGGCTGGAGTCGTCGGGCAGCGGGAAGATCTCCGCGGATCCGCGCGCAAGCCCTGGAAGGCGAACGGCGGAGGATGGGCCAGTCCCACCGCCGAGGGTCATATCACTCATTGAGTCTCCGCCGCGGCAGCGGCGCCTTTGCCTCCCTTCGGGGCTCCATGGCCCGATCCTTCGGAGGGCTGGCCCGCCGCGGCGGCGACAGGTGGACCGCGTCCAGCGGCAGGAAGACTGCCAGCAGCGACAGCGTCGGCAGCGATCGGAAGGCTGCGGGCTTGCACCCGCTTGGACTCGACCTCGATCTCGTCCTTGGCCCTCTTGGCCACGTAGTGCTTCAGCTCGGGCACGACCATGTCCACCGCAGAGCCCACGCCGGAGTAGAGCCTCGCGTTAGCCCACTGTGGCCGAAAGGGGTCACCCGAGTACGCGTCCGCGATACTCTGGATGCGGCGCCCTATATTCTTGAAGCTCACCAGCGACGGCATGTTGAGCTGGTCGTAGGTGCGCCCCACGTAGAAGACCTCGCAGAGGACGGAGAGCTCGTGCATGACCCAATGGCCCGGCCCGAGGTTGTTCGAGCGGGACCCAAGGTCGAGCCACGTCCTGATGTTGCGGCTGCGCCGATCAGAATGCCTGAGGATATACATTAAGCTAGACGGCCCCTCCCCAGGCCTGTCGGTCCATACCGTGGGGTAGCTCTCCGTGACCGCATTACGCCAAGACACGAACCGGACGCTCATGGCGTCCGTGTCCACCCACAACGTGCGAACATCGCTCGGCTCGGTGACATCTGCAGGGGCGGTCGGCTCGGCCCCCCCCCCGCGAGGAGGCGCGTGGCTCGGCACGATCCCGGATCACCGCCCGAAGTCGGTGGGCGCGCCGTCGAAGTCGCGGACCGCTACCTCGTAGGCCGAGGTCTTCATGGACGCGTAGTCGCCCACGTCGGCCTCAGGAACGCTCTGCACTGGCTCCGTCTCGCCGTCGATGTCGGCGACGCCGCGGTCACCCAGCCTGGTCGTGGCGCATGCGTGCGGCACGAGGGCACCCAACTCCCAGATCAGACCAGGCTCGGTGACCAGCCAGCGGTGACGATCGCCGTCGGCGGCCAGCACGCCGTCGCCCGCATCCCCGACGCCGCCAGACTCGGCGGCTCCAGCGCCCGCATCGGCGACGGGTGGGTTGCCTTCCTTGCCATCGCGCCTCACCTGCTTGCCCGGGAGGCGGTGGCGAAGGAGCGGGTGCTGGCGTACTTCCTCCGACAAGAAGTAGGTCGGGTCCGCCGGCACGTGGCGATCGGGCTCAGACTCCCACAGAGACGCCACCTCGGCGTGGGCCTCCGCGATCAGCCCGCGTAGCTCGTCGTCCGTCGGGAACTTCGCGAACGGCACAACCTTCGCCCCGTAGTCCGGCAGAGACCTCGGCGGCTGGCCCGCCGTCATGAGGTACACCTTGTCCAGATCCTTCTCCTCCCCCCCATGCAGGTCGCCGCTGCCCGTGTACTCGATCCAAGACGCCTCGTGACACGGCCACACGATGACGCGCTCGTGCTTGAAACCAGGATCAGTGACGAACCACACGAGCCGCTGCGTCCCCAGCACCCAGTCTTGCACCATTGGATCACACAAAGCTGCGTCGAATCGGGCAGTGCAGCATGGCGGCACCAATACAGCACGAAGAACACCCCGAGGATCCCGATCCCCAGGCAGCCGGCGAGAGCGAGGTCGGGCAAGACCGCGAGGCCTCCCACCCACGGCCAGACGACCTCGATCGCCGCGGCTCCGTCGGCCGCGAGCCGCACCGAGGCACCCAGCAAGGGCGGGCCCGGTGGCTCGGGCGCCGCTGACGACGGGCAGGAGCAGGAGCAGGAGCAGTCCCACGGAGGCTCCCAACACCAGCCGACGGCCGCCGCGCGGCCTGGGGCTGCCGGCGCGGAACGCCCAGCAGCGGAGCCGGCCAGGCAGCCGGAGAGCGAGGGCACGGCATTCCAGGCGAAGAGTACCAACTGGGGTGGCGTGACGGCCATCGAGCGACATACCCATGCCTTTTGACGCTTGAGCCCGAGCGGTTGCGATGAGCAACGCGAGAGGCCAAGCCTGGACACGACACCCGAAAAACCTTTCTCATCATTCCCGCGCGCGCACTAACAAGAGGGAGCCTCGTCTGTGAGTAAATTGTGAAGAAGTCTCAGGCGGGAGCCCCCCCCCAATGGGGCCCGCAGATCATGTTACTAATCCGAGCGGGTCATCGGATTCCTGTAACTGTCGTCACTTTTGGGCTCCTCAGGTCTGAATTTGGAGGAAGTATCAAGCGGGAGCCTCGTCTGTGAGTGAATGGTGAAGAAGTCTCAGGCGGGAGCCCCCTCCCTATGGGGCCCGCAAATCATGTTACTAATCCGAGCGGGTCATCGGATTCCTGTAACTGTCGTCACTTTTGGGCTCCTCAGGTCTGAATTTGGAGGAAATATCAGGCGGGAGCCTCGTTTGTCAGTGAAGCGCAAGCAGGTCTCAGGCGGGAGCCCCCTCCCCATGGGGCCCGCAGATCATGTTACTAATCCGAGCGGGTCATCGGATTCCTGTAACTGTCGTCACTTTTGGGATCCTCAGGTCTGAATTTAAAGGAAGTATCAAGCGGGACCCTTGTCTGTGAGTGAGGAAGTCTCAAGCGGGAGCCCCCTCCATATGGGGCCCGCAGATCATGTTACTAATCCAAGCGGGTCATCGGATTCCTGTAACTGTCGTCTCTTTTGGGCTTCTCAGGTCTGAATTTGAAGGAAATATCAAGCGGGAGCCTCGTTTGTCAGTGAATTGCGAGCAAGTCTCAGGCGGGAGCCCACTCCCTATGGGGCCTTCCTATGGGTCCCGCAGCTCACGTGGTTCCTCCGGGTCATCCTCCGGCGCGCGCTTCCTCTGGGTCGTCCTCCGGCGCGTATCGGCTGGGACGCACGTCGTGCGCTTCCTCTGGGTCGTGTTCCGCACGAGGACGAGGAGGAGGAGGATTGCCAGGAAAAGGAGGAGGGATGATGCAGGACGAGACAGGAAAGCAGGAAGAGGAAGAGGCTGAGGGGAGGAAGGACGAGGAGGAAAAGGAGGAGGAGGAATGCCCGAGGAGGCCCCAGTAGGTCCCGGAAGGCCCAGAAGGCTCCAGGAGGCCCCAAGAGGCCCCAGGAGGCCCCAGGAGGGGGCAGGAGGCCTAAGGAGGAGGCAGGAGGAGGAAGGAGGAGGAGGAGGAGGAGGGGGGGGGAGGAGGGGGGAGGAATATGGAAACGAGGAGGAGGAGGAGGAGGAGGAGGAGGAAGCGGATGAGGGAGAGGGAGAGGAGGAGGACAGGGGATGAGGAGGAGGAGGAGGAGGAGAAGGGAGAGGGAGAGCAGGAGGAGGAGGCAGGAGGCAGGAGGGGCAGGGGGAATGGGGGGGAGGAAGCATAACGAGGGGGAGGGGGAGGAGGTGGAGGAGGCAAGAAGAGGAGGAAGAGGCAGGGGTTGAGGCAGGAGGAGGAGCAGACAGGAGGAGAACGAGGAGGCAAGAGTAGGTGGGAGAAGGGAAGGGGCAGGAGGATACCCCCATGCAAGCTAAAGAGATTCTCATGTGGGGTCCTTCCGTCGGAGTAATTCGTATTATCTTTATTATCTTTATTATCTTTACTTCTTTTTGTTAATCTGGTCCCAGCGCCCCCCCCCGAACCAGACCTCGCGTGGAAACTGGAACATAGACCTGGGCACTGGCGGGCCGTTCTTCCGTCCCAGAGCTTTTTTGAGGGCCGGGAGCGGCGTCGAGGTAGTGCGGTGTGTGCTCGTGATTCCCGCTTCCATGGGCAAACGTCGAAGCGCGCAATCATGCACCAGGCTCCCGCATCTGCCAAAACCCGCTTCCCCGGGCAAACTCCGATACCCGGGCCCGAGGAAGCGTCGGTGTACACTTTTTTCCCCGGGAGGGCCGACCTTCCATCCGAAGCTGCTCTTTGTCGGACCGCCCCGCGGCCACGCCAGGCCCCCCCCTCCCCTCCTGGAGGGCGACGACCGCCGACAGAAAGAAGCAAGGATGCCAGAGAAACGACCCCATCATAATCTTTATAGGGCTATAGGGCTATAGGGCTATTGGGCTATAGGGCTACAGGGCTACAAGGCTCTGGGGCTGTAGGGCTATAGGACTATAGGCCCGGGCTATAGGGCTATAGGGCTGCAGGCTTATGGGGCTATTAGGCTAGATGGCTATATGGCTATAGGGCCATAGGGCCATGGGGCTATAGGGCTATAGTGCCCGTAAGGCTATTCGGACTATAGGGCTATAGGGCTATAGGGCTATAGGGCTGTCGGGCAATAGTGCTATAAGGCTATACAAATATGAGCCTATAGGGCTATAGGGCTACCGGGCTCCCCAGGGCACCTCCGGGCATCCCCGAGCATCCGGGCACCCGAACACCCCCGGGCATCCGGCCCGGCCATCGAAATCGGCGACGAACCTCACCTAACCATATGAATCCGCTAGGGCCCCTACAAAGGCAAGCTCTGATTGGGGAAAATCAGCCCGCCGCGACCTTGTCACAACGCGAGGCGGCCTGGGCTCCAGCGACATGTTAGCGAGCGTGAGGCACCTCGTTCGGATTTTGCGGTCGGCATTCGGGCGAATCTTCCTGAGGGCAGGCGTCCCGGGTTGCCTCGAGCCGAGGTTGTCCCTGGTTTTCTCTGCTCGCCTAGTTCGGGCAAACGTAGCGCTGGGGTCTGGGCCGTCATGACCTGAATGTCTAGAGTGCACAACAAACGGCATAATCAGAAACTTCCGGAACTCCGCGCGGATTTCCTAGATCGGCACCGAACCCCCCTAGCGGCAAGAAATGGCATAAACAGAAACTTCGGGAGCGGAGCTCCCAAGTTTATGCTGATACCACTGCTTGCTCCTCTAGAAACGCAGAGCCCAGGGAGATGGCATGCCATCACGCTGTCATCCCGACCCCCTTCCCACGTTGAAAGTGCCAATGCCGACTGCCACGAGAACGATGAGAAATGGAGGTGAAGCGGAGGAGGAGGAAGAGGTGAATGATCTTGGCGGATAGTTTGACGGCACTTGGTCAGCGAACGCAGCGATGCATTGCGACTTCGCATGGAATTCGTTCCTGGAAATGCTGCCCTCTCTATTCTCTGCTCGCCCAGCTCGGGCAGCCGTAGCTCGGCTACGCACCAGGAATGCCCCCGGGCACGAGATGCCGCTGCTGAGCGACTTCGGGGAGCCCCGGGGAGGCGAAGCCCGGGCGCGCAGGACGCTGCTACCGCGTCGCGTTCGGCCATCTGGGGGCCCCGGTCCCAGACATGCGATGTCCGGACTGTTTCCACACGCGGTCTCTGGAAGTCCGGGCCCTTGCCCAAAGCCTAAGGTCGGGCGTGTCCCCCTACAGGCGGATTTTGGACGAAAAATAAAGATTAGTCAACAAAACATTCAAAAACGCCCCAGAATAATAGGAAAATCGCTCCCACGAGGGACACGCCCGACTTGCCCCAAGGCCGATTTTTCATCCCGAGTCGTTCTCTTGACGGTCCCGGGGGGTCCGATGCGGGGGGCCCCAGGGGGCCGCAAACCAAGACACGCCTGCCGTCCCGATTTTTGGCACGACGCGAGCGTGCCTGGGGTAAGCCCGCACCAAGTAGACACCAGAACCATCGCGCGCGCTCGCGCGCGCTCAAGTTCCCTCCTCTTTCGCCTCCTCCTACACCTCCTCCTCCTCCTCCTCCTCACCTCTCTCTCAGGCAGGATAAGCCGCAGCGAAAGGAGACATCAGACGAGAAAAATCGACCGACGCTTTGCCTCTCCTCCTCCTCCCCCTGCACCCCCCCCTCCCTTTAGTCTTCGTCGTCTTCAGGGTCGGCGGCACCGTCCGTAAGGCCTTTGCAACAAAGACTAGAACCATCGCGCGCGCTTCGCGCGCGCTCAAGGTCTAGCTAGGCTCGACAGGCTAACGCATGGAATCTCAATTGTTGAAGTGTCTTGTGTATCTAACGACCTTCTTGGAGTCCCTGCGTAAGCCTCGGAAGCGTATAAACAATACATGCGGAAACCATAAAATCGTCAAAGTCCTTCACGTGTTCGATGATTTGGGGCCCTCGAAGGCTTCCTGGATTTTTACCTAACAGCGAAGACTGATAGGTTTCTAGTAGGATCAAAAGAGGTCACAGATCACTCCACAGGGGGGTCCGGGCAGGTGTTGGGAGTTGCCGGGCGGGCCTGTGCCCACCTCGTTTTTCACCAACAGTCACACACTTCGTGCTCTTCGACTTCCCAGAACTCCATTCCCAGGCCACATTCTGGAGGGCCGGATGCAACTGTAGGCCACTTCGTGCTCTTCCATTTCCCAGAACTCCATTCCCGGGCCACATTTTGGATGCCCGGAGCCAACTGTAGGCCACTTCGTGCTCTTCCATTTCCCAGAACTCCATTCCCGGGCCACATTTTGGATGCCCGGAGCCAACTGTAGGCCATTTCGTGCTCTTCTATTTCCCAGAATTCCATTCCCGGGCCACATTTTGGATGCCCGGAGCCAACTGTAGGCCACTTCGTGGTCTTCGAGTCCCCAGAACTCCATTCCCGGGCACATTTTGAATGTCCGGAGCCAACTGTAGGCCACTTCGTGGTCTTCGACTTCCCAGAACTCCATTCCCGGGCCACATTTTGAATGCTGAGGCAGGCTGATGCTGAGGCTGAGGCAGGCTGAGGCTGAGGCAGGCTGAGGCTGAGGCCGAGGCTGAAGGCAGACTGAGGCTGAGGCTGAAGCAGGCTGAGGCTGAGGCTGAGGCAGGCTGAGGCTGAGGCTGAGGCAGGCTGATGCTGAGGCAGGCTGAGGCTGAGGCTGAGGCTGATGCAGGCTGAGGCTGAGGCAGGCTGAGGCTGAGGCCGAGGCTGAAGGCAGACTGAGGCTGAGGCTGAAGCAGGCTGAGGCTGAGGCTGAGGCAGGCTGAGGCTGAGGCAGGCTGAGGCTGAGGAGGCTGAGGCTGTGACTGCGACTGCCGTTGCCACTGCGACTGTCATCGCGAATGCGACTACGACTGCGAGAACAGCAGAATTCTACAACTGGATTCTCATCTGAATCTTAAGGGGAATGCTTCCAGATATGCTCCTACACATCGCTGTTAGGTTGCTTTGCCGGGATAATTTTCTGTGGTGACGTGGGCCTTAATCATGGTCTGCCGTGCAACAATGAGCAGGGAGGAAGTTTGAAAAACATTGAATTCTGAGAATTCCTTTTTTTTCAAATTGCCATGCTTGGGCTGTGGGACAGAAGTCTCCGGGATTCAGGCCATGGTCTGTTGGGATGGCACTCGGGAACTTTTTGGCGGCGCCTTGGAGGTCTTTCGGGGCCTCTTGGGGAGCTCTTGGTGCCTCCTGGAAGCCTCCTGGGAGTCTCCGCAGGTATCTGGGGGGGCGCCTCGACAGCCTTTGCGAGAGCCTTGGAGCTATCTTGAGGCAAAGCGCTCGAAAGGCATGGGCAGGTTATGTCTTTGTCCATTTCTTGGCGCGCGCTCGCACGCGCTGACGTTCTAGCCAGGCTAGACATGTGAATTCATGGGATCTCGATTTTACGGTGGTTTCAGGGGCAGCCAAGAAGACACGCAGACGACCCAAGAGAGTGCCAAGACTCCGTCAGAGAGTTCAACCGTATTCCCGAAACATCTTTGCAGTGTGACCCCAAAGTCTTGATGGGGCTCAGGATGAACTTGAACAAAACGAGAATCACTGGATTTCCTTATTTGTTTCAAGTGGGGCCTCCTAACATCTAGTGCGCAGGAGTCGGGGGGGTGACCTTAGAGGCGTGCAGGGAACTCTTGAGAGGCAATTTGGAGGCCGCTGGGGAGCTTTTTTGGGGCCTCTTGGGGCCACTGTTGGGCCTCTTCGGGGCTCTTGGGGGCATCTTCAGGCTCTTTCGGAGACTCTTGGGGCCTCCTGGGGCCTCTTGGAACGGAAAGCCGGGATTGTAGATGTGCGTTCCTCCTGTTGGGCGGCTTTTCGGGCCATCTTGGCGCTCTCTTGGGCCGTCTTGGGGCCTTCTTGGCCCATCTTGGAGCCGTCTTGGGGTCTCGTGGGCGGTCGTGGGGCGGTCTTGGGGACCTTTTTCGGCAGTGTTGGAGCGTTGGAAGCTCGAAAACGCGAGAAGGCTAACCGCATGCCGATGATAATAAAGGGACCCCCCCCTTCAGTGTTTAGAGTTGATTATCGTCGCCCTATACAAAATTCAAATTGGGCGGCGAGCGCTGAGGCCGAACTTCATTATCACCTCGAAACGCTATGTTGAGATAGCAGCATCAAGCGATGTTGATATAGATTTGGAACTTTCCATTTTTTTCGTTATTCTTCTCTTCTTCTTCTTCTCATTCTCTTCTTCTTCTCTTCATATTCTTATTCTACTTTCCTCTTCTTCTTTTATAGTTCTATCTGTCCTCACGCTCGCCTGAACTGTGTTATCCCTGGGGTTGATTATCAATGGAAAATGAAGCACATGAGCTACCCTACACGAGCACTTAACACATCAATTTTCATAAAGCGTTTGTAAATTAAAATTGGTAGATTTGAAACTTTGGATTGTTCCTTTCTTCGTCCTCTTCTTATTCTCCTCTTCTTCTTCTTTCTTATTATTATTCTACTGTATTATTCTTCTTTTATATTTCTCTCTGTCCCCACGCTCGCCTGAACTTTTTTTATCTCTGGGGTTGATTATCCATGGAAATTGAGGCACATGAGCTACCCTACACGAGCACTTACAAAAAACAATGTTCATAAAGCGCTTGTAAATAACATCTAATAGATTTAAAACTCGAGATTTGTTCTTCTTTTCCTCCTTCTGCTCCTCCTACCATTTCTTTTATTCTATTATTTATTCTTTTTATTTTTCTTTTTTATATATAGAAAACTGTCGAGGATTTGTCGAGGATGTCGACAAGGGATTTGTCGAGGATGTCTCCAGCGAGATAAGCCATTGTTGAGGATATGTCTATGAAAGCTAAACGCCAAGGATGTCTCAAAACGTGCTCGGCTTGGTCTCCTCTTGATCATCTCTTACTTCGAGATTATGCTGAGGTCTGCTGGGCTACTTTTATTATCTCTCCCTGAACCCCGAACTTTATTATCCCCTAGTGTTTATTCTCACGGGCATGAGGTTAAACGCCGAACAAAAAACCAAAAAACAATGAAACTCAACGATTTGGGCCTCTTCGGGCGCTCCCGGGACGCCTCTCGGAGGTCTCTTGGGGCCTCTTGGAGGCCTCCTGGGAGCCTGGAGAGCCGTCGGAGGTCTGTCTTGGGCTGCTTGGGAGCGTCTTGGGCCGTCCTTTCGCGTGCTGGGGGCTCCTTGGGGGCGTCTTGGGCCGCCTCCCTGAAACCCGGGGGCGCGGTGCCGGGAATTGCCTCCAGATGTCACGGAAGTGGGGGACGCTCCCGGGGGAGGGGGGCCGTTTTTTTTTTGGGGGGGGGGGCGAAAAAAACGCTTCGCTCACTCCTCCAGCCCAGTTCGCATCACTGTGGCTGCGTGGTGGTGTGCTCGTGCCCAGGGAGAACGGTGGGGTGGGCAGGACGGTCTTCGAGGAGGTCTTCGGAGACGTGGCTCGCACCCCGTCGAGGAGAGCCGATGGACTGCCCCAGAGAGCGCCAAGATAGCTCAAGAAAGCTCCAGCAGAGTTTCGAGACGTACCTATGGGTTGTGGGCCCAAAATCCGTATGGATGCTTCTTGGGGTCTTTTCGGAGGGAGCCTCTGGGGAGCAGTTTTTTGGAGCCTCTGGGGAGCCTCTTGGGGGTTTCTTGGGGGCATCTTCGGGCTTCCTGGGGGCCTGTAGGGAATATCGGGGGGCTCTTTTGCGGCCTCTTGGGGGCCTGGGGCCGTTTTGGGCGTTCTTGGAAGCCTCTTGGGCCGTGTTGGGGCGATCCTGGAAGCCTCTTGGGCCGTCTGACAGCCCCGGTAAGCCGAAAAGGCGAGACACCAAAAATCTTCAAACATGTAAGAAAAATAAAAAACATCTGCCTCTGTGGTCCCTCTTGGGAGGTCTCTTGGAGCCCTCTTGGGGCCTCTTGAAGGCGCTTTGGGCTGTCTGGAAGCAATTGTTGGCGTCTTGGATTGCTCTTGGACCGTCTCGGACCATGTTGAGCTCTTTTGGAAGCCACTTGAAGCGCTTCTGGAGTTCTCTTGGGAGCCTTCTGGGACCTGCTCGGGACCTGCTCGGGACCTTGCCGGGATCTTGGCGGGACCTTGCCGGGGTACTTTCGTCCAGGGACCCGCAGGGGCGGCCCCGCGCGCGCGAACTAGAAGTGTTGTTAAACAAATTACCGGTTATCTTAGCGCACGCCCTTGGCCCGTTGGGCCGGCAAATGCTATCAGCGCGCTCCACTACTCGCAAGATGAACTGCTCGCAGAGGGCTTGGACTCGCCGCGGGGGATCTGCGAACCACTGCATCGAGGCAAACAGATGTCTTTTCCCACCAGAGGTCACTCCGGCGGAAGGTCACCCCGACGTGCAGCCGAGCGATGCGCCCAGCACTGGGCTCCCGCCGGCGCTGCGGCCGCGCGCCCGCCCCGCAGGCCATGCATTCTCGGAGAGCCCCCCGGGAGGCGGCCGCCGCGTCACTCGGCGGACCTCGCCGAGACGAGCCGCCCCCCGGCGAGCTTGTCGTGCACCTGCGCGTGGATCCACCGATCCCCATCTTATCTAGCTCTTGGTCATGCTGTGGGGCCACGCGGACCCGACGCGTGGCCCAACAGCATGCCACGCGTCGGGTCCGCGTGGCCAAATCCTCCTCCTCCTCCTCCTCCTCCTCCTCCTCCTGCCCCTCGTATTCCCTCTCCTCCTCCTCCTCCTCCTGCCCCTCTTATTCCCTCCTCCTCCTCCCACTCCTCTTCCTCCTCCTCCTCCTCCTCCCTCTCCTCCTGCCCCTCATATTCCCTCATCCTCCTCCTCCTCCTCCTACTCCTCCCTCCTCCTCCTCCTCCTCCTCGTCCTCCTCCTCCTCCTCCTCTTCCTCCTCCTGCCCCTCTTCTTCCCTCCTCCTTCTACTCCTCCATCCTCGTATAGTGCGAGGAGGGGATGTATCCACATCCACCACCTGGGGAACTGACGTCCTGGGACCCCAGCGGGCGATGGACATGGATATAGCTTGGCTCCATGGTGGCCAAACTATATCCGCATCCACAGCCCGCCGATGTCCCCGAAGATTCAATACCCAGGCGTTGGTTATGGATGAATCCCCGCCCAGGATAATTGGCATGGCATTGGCCTCATTGGCCGATTTATCCCCCCCCCCACACCCCCTTCAGATGGGGATAATTATATGTCGTTCCGTCCCTTCGGGTTTCGCGGGGCCTATCCCCAACTGGGGGGGTGGGATGGTGGACCACGAGTGGGGAACACATCCGTATCCGCGCCCTCGCGGTGTGGATTCCAAGGCGCGATCCCGCGGATACGCGGTCGTACGGGTACGTTCCGCGCGGGGCATCCGGGATCGCGGGGTCGCGGCCCCGGGGGGCCTGGCCCGCAGGGCAGCGGACACAGATATGTCTTGCATCTGCGAGTGGGGCCGAGAAGCGTACCATGCCCCGGTGGGGACGGGGGTTCGGTTGGAGCACCTGCACGCCCTGCAGCACCCAGAACTCCCAGCTCAGGGCCGAGCGCGCGAGCGTGTGCGCCTCCGCGTGGGGGCGAGGGGGGCCCGTCGGGGGAGCCAGCTCCGGGCGGGGGGAAACGCTGACTCGGAACCGGCGATGCACCACGGATAGGTCGACGGCATGCCCTCGACGGTGGAATCGCACGCTCCTCTGCAGGAGCGGGGCGCAGGTCCCGATGAGCGGTGAGCAGGCGATTGGGGGTTCATGCTTTTCCGCCCCCCGAGCCAGTCCCCCTCCCCCAGACCAACGACCAGCGACGACGGACGACGACGATGACGACGACCGACGCCCGACCTCAGCAGTCGAGTATAGGGGATCGACTACAGAATTGATTTACACCAGAATTTCAATGTTCGCCGCATCCACGAAAAGACGTGGAATCTTCGTGTTCTCATGGGCCATTCTGCTCGCTGCGAAGGCCTTACGGTCGGCGCGACGCCGACCGAGTTCCCTCCGTACTGGGGGGGCCTCGGGCGCCGCGCCGCGCCGCCAGGCGCCCGCCGGCATTGGCCAAGCACCCCCCGCACCACCCGGCGCCCGCTGGCGCCAGCCAGGCGCCCTCGCGCTCCCCGTGCGGGGGGGCCGCGGCCCCCCGAAGAGCTCGCCGGGACCCCGGAGGGGGGGGGGGCGCCGAACCTGCGAAAATTGGATCTCCGGGGAGGGCGCCGAATCATGCTCCTCAGATCTACGGAGGTTTCTGAATTTTTGACAGGTTCGACGGAACAGTAACATCCATTTTGGGGTACATCAATGCTGCAGTCGATCCCCTACCACAGCAATAGAGGCCTCTCAAACGGGGTCGGAGTAGATGAGCGACGAGAAGAAAATGGGTCCCACGCGAGATGACATGGCGACCTCACGCGGGGCGCCAGCGTGGCACACCGCATGAAAACGAGGGCGCTTACGCGCGACCTTGCGCGGGCAACTCACGCGCGAATGTCGGCGCAGTTGGACCTGTGTTCTTAGGTCGCCCAGATGGAGTCCAGAGGACCACGCCGCATCGTCGATGCATTACCGATGCGCCGGCGATGCCGGCGATGCTTCGGCAACGCCGCCGTGGCGAACAACGGGCTCGACATCGAGCCGCGGCGCCGATGCATCGGCGCTGCGGCACGATCCTCCGACTCCAGGTTATCTGGGAGGCCCGCAAGCAAAGCGTCCTGACAGCAGCGCGTGGGGAAGCCTGCGGGTCGAGTGGGAGGTCGGCTGGCGAACACGTGCTGGGCCAGGGGTGCGAGCACAAGCCCTTTTTTTGTTGTCTTTTCCAGCGGCCCTGGGCTCGGCTCGTGGGCGGGGCGAGGGCACAAACGTGTAGCCAAATCCGAGGCGAGAACGCGAGGGTCCCGAAAGCTTGTGTCGGACGGGACGGTCTAGGGGCTCCCCGCCCCCCCTCCCGGGGGGACTGTACCACTCGAACTCCTCGGCGGGAGGCCACGAAAGAAACTGGCGGCATGCGCATAACCGTTGAAAGGTCCGCGCGGATTTCTGGGATCTGACTACCTACCAGACAAACCCAACCCAACCCGAAGACTCGAATTTCGGGTGGGGGGGGGTACGGGTTCATATGTGTTTTTTTCAATGTTCCCCGACCCCCCCCAACTGGAAATGGAGGACAAATTGAGGCCTTCGGGTTGGGTTGGGGTGGTTTGGTGGGTGGTGAGGATCGGCGCTGGGCCCCCGAGAAATCCGCGCCGACGCGCGGACCTCCGAAAGTTCGGGTCTGCCCGTCTTTTCTTCTCGGAGACGAGCACGAGGCCGATGTCGACGCCGACGAGATCGGCGACGGCAACACCGACCAGTCTCGAACTTGGCCCTATAGGAGACCCCCCAGATCGGTCAGCCCGAGACGATGGCCAATCTCCAGGATGCCCCAATCAGAAAACCGAACAAATCCTCGAGATCGACGCCGAGCTGAGGTCAAGCCAATCGCAAGCGGAGAATGTGCTTCGGGTCGGGCGAACGGCAGCTGGGCTTCCCGGGGCCTCCCGGTGTCGCAGGCGTCCATGTATCGCCAGGTCGGGCATGTCCTGCTGCAGGCGAATCTTGGAGGAAACAAAAGTCAACAAATAGTCTGAGCTAGTCGAACATACACAAACATCGTCCCCAGACTCTGGACTATTCTTGGATATTCCTCCTGTGCAGGGGCACGCCCGACTCAACTGTATCGAGAAAGGCGCCCAGCGGCCGGGCCGAAACCAGCTGCATCATGCAGACTTCGTGTGCCCCCTCCTTGTCCTATATTACCAGCCTGGAACATATCCCTATCCCTATGCTGGGCACCTCCTCATCACGAAGCCAATATGAGGGATTCCCTTATGTTTTGAGGGCGAATCCCTAAGATTGTAATCGCCTTTTGGCGTGTCAATCTTAGGGATCGGGATACGTTCGAGGCTGGTAATTATAGCCCGTCTTTCTTCGCCGACCCGAGTGGTCCTCGTCGTCTGGCCTCGGGTCCTACAGGCCTCGGAAGAAATCAGCGAACACTCATGCCAGATTCATCCGTCAGTGCCCCCCCGATTATCAATGTTGGCGGTGGATTGGATGAGTTGTACTTGGACCGTAGTCTTCCCTGCGCGTGCCAGCTTCGAGCTTTGGGGCGCAAGGGAGTGTCCACTATTTTGTTTTCCCTCTACCGTACCTCGTCTCCGGCGGCCGTTCAGGAAGGCTCTCGGCAAGGCGCGGCTGCCGAACACCAACAAAAAGGTCCGACAGCCTTACCACTCGAACCCCATTCCTCGCCCACGCCGCCTTTCTCTTCCCTACTTCCCCCATATCCTGTCCTCTGGCCCACATGAGCGAGGAGAAGCCCAGACCCCTGACATCACGACTTTTTCCTGACGTCAACCCCCAGAGGCCTCGACCCAATCCCCGAGACCAGCTTCTCATCCCGAGTCGCATTTTCACGGTCCCGAGTCCCAGCGAGGGCCCCCAGGAGCTGAAAATGGTGAAAAACCTCCCGTCGCGATGTTTCACGACGCGAGGAGGTCCGGGATTGCTTCCGGCTCGCCGCGCAAAGCCAGCAGCGGCGGCGGCGACCAACGGCGGCGCCTCCCGCAGCCGCGCCTCCACGGCGCACCGCGTGCGCCACGGCGCGCCCCCGGCGTGCCAGGAGACGGCCAGGCGCGGCAGCGAGGCAAGGCGCCCGGAGCTGGCGAGGCGCTCGAGGACCTCGCGCTCAAGTGCCATCTCCTCCTCCTCCTCCTCCTCCTCCTCCTCCTCCCTCCCTCCTCCTCCTCCCTCCTCCTCCTCCCCCCCTCCCTCCCTCCCTCCCTCCCTCCCTCCCTCCCTCCTTTCCCCCTCCCTCCTCCCCTCCCTCCCTCCCTCCTCCTGCTCCTCCTCCCTCCTTCTCCTCCTCCTCCTCCCTCCCTCCTCCTCCTCCTCCTCCTCCTCCCTCCTCCTCCTCCTCCTGCTCCTCTCCTCCTGCTCTCTGCTCCTCCTCCTGCTGCTCCTTTCTCTCTGCCTGCCTCTCCTCCTCCTCCTCCTCCTCCTCCATCTCCTCCTCCTCCTCCTCTCTCCTCCTCCTCCTCCTCCTCTTCCCTCCTCCTCCTCCTCCTTCACCTTCCCTCCTCCCCTCCACCCTCCCTCCCTCCCTCCCTCCCTCCCCCCCCCCTCCTCCTCCTCCTCCTCCTCCTCCTCCTCCTCCTCCTCCTCCTCCTCCGTAGCCATTTGGCTCAAAGTGGCTCCAGCCCCGCGGCCGTTTGCGTTTCCCTCGCACGGCCCGACTTTCGCTCAGTCCCCAGTCGCCAGGCGACCTCCTGCTGGGCCCTGGCGCACTCCTCATGAAGGGCGCCTGCGCCGCCCCGCCTCGCGAGGTGGGCGCGACCTCGCCCTCAGCGCGCAGGTGGCGGCGGGCTGCGATTGCCGCAGTCCGACATGCGCAGCGGGCGGCCTGCGCGCTCACCGCAGAGCTCGGGACGTTGCCTTGCGTGCGGACGGTGCAGCCGCCCATCGAGCGCATCGCCCACCTGTCGGCGGCGGATGGCGCGCAGTTGGCTGGCCGGGGGTTATCCTGGACTGCTTTGGCGACGCGTCCGCGGCTCACACGGCCCCTCACTCATGCCACATCCCTCGGGCAGCCGCTGGGGGAGTTCTTCGCGGAGCGGCCAGTGCAGCGTCTCGTGGGCAGCATGTTCCCCGCCCTGTTCATGGGCCTCGCGGGCGCATGTTTCTGGGAGTCTCTGCTGCTCGTGCTGGTGCTTCGCTTCGTCGTGGTGTTCCTGGGCCTTGCGATCCTTGCAGTCGCACCGGTATCTTTCTTCGCCCTATACCTGGACCACGCGGGCGCGTGTTCAAGTGCCTTTCTGCTGCTGGACCAGACGCTCATCCTCGCCGCGCTGCTCGGGGCCTCCGTGGTGACGCGGACGCCGTCTTGCTACGTGGTGGAGCTGGTCCTGCGTATTGGGGGTTTCGCGGTCCGGGTCGCGGGGGTGATGAAGCGCCTCCTCGCCCTGTGACTGGGCCTCGTGGGCGCGTGTTCAAGGGCGTTCTTGCAGCGGGTGCGGCTCCTCGACCAGGTCGTGGCGATCTTTCTGGTCCTGCTGGCGTTCGAGGGTGCGCGGATCTACTTCCTTGCGCTGCGGATCTTCCTGGTCGTGCTGAATTCCTGGGAGGTTCGGCGGGTCCTGGAGGCGCGGTTCTTCGGCAATTTCGTGGCGAACTACCTGGTCCTTCGGATCTCTTTGGTCTTCCTGGTCGTCAGGTGCTTCCCGTTCCCGCGGATCTTTTCGGAGGCCCTGGTACTCTTCCTAGTTGTGCGGATCTTCGACCAGTTCGTGGCGAACTTCCTGGTCCTGCGGTTCTCCCTTGTGGTTCGGATCCTCTTGACGTTCATGGGTGTGCGGATCTCCTCCCTGGTCCTGCGGATCTTCGTGGTCGTGCTGATCCTTTCGGAGGCCTGGCGGGTCTCCCTGGAGGCGCGGTTCTCCGACCCCTTCGTGGCGATCTACCGGGCCATGTGGATCTTCATGGTCGTGCGAGTTCTCTCGAGGGCCCTGCAGCCCCTCCTGTCTTCAAGCCCGACGGCGGCGTGGGGCCGCGGCCTCCTCGCCCCTCGATTTCTCTGCTCTGGAGGCGGCGTGGGCGGCGGCTGCGAATGAGCTCATCAGGATCTTTGCATACTCTTATCGAGGGATTGGCTTCAGTGGACTTCCTGCGTCTTGCGGGAGGCACGGCCTGGCGGATAGCACGAGCTGCGCGGTCCCAGGTGACGCCACGCACCTCCGCTCCCAGGGGGTGGCTTCAGTGGGCCCCCCTCGCTTTGAGGGGGGCGCAGCCTGGAGGATAGTGCATAGCGCCGCCCCATGTGACGCCGCAAACCTGTCTGGAGCTCTGGGCTGACGCTTTCTCTGCGCCAGCCCAATTCCTTTTTCCTTCATTCTCGGGTCTGGGCGCTCTCCCCGAAATCCCTCGGGCGGGGGGGCGCGTCGCTGACGGACTCCGAGTCGGGCGTCTGGCCCTGTCTCCTATTTTCTGCGTCGGGAAGAGCACCGCGCGCCCGCTGCAGCTAGTGTCGTATCCTCCTCCCCCTCCTCCTCCTCCTCCTCCTCCTCCTCCTCCTCCTCCTCCTCCTCCTCCTCCTCCCCCCCCTCCCTCTCCTCCTGCTCCCCTCCTCCCCCCCCCTCCCCCCCCTCCTCCTCCATCTCCTCTCTCCTCCTCCTCATCTCCTCCTCCTCCTGCTGCCCCTCCTCCTCCTCTTCCACCCTGCATCCCTCCTCCCTCCCTCCTCCCCCCCCCCCCTCCTTCCCTCCCCCCTCCTCCTCCTCTCCTCCGCCTCCTCCTCCTCGCCCTCGTCCTCGTCCTCGTCCTCCTCCTCCTCCTCCTGCTCCTCATCCTCCGCCTCCTCGTCGTCCTCCTCCCCCCTCCTCCTTTCCCCTCCTCTTCTCCTGCTCGCTCCTGCTCGCTCCTGCTCCTGCTCCTGCTCCTGCTCCTGCTCTTGCTCCTACTCTACTCCTGCTCCTCCTCCTCCCTGCTCCTCCTCCTCTCCTCCTCCCTCCTCCTCTCCTCGTCCTCCTCCTCCTCTTCCTCCTCGTCCTCCTCCTCCTCCTCCTCCTCCTCTCCTCTCCTTCCTCTCCTCTCCTCCCCTCCTCCTTCTCCTCCGCCCTCCTCCTCCTCCCTCCCCCTCCTCCTCTCCTCCTCCCTCCTCCTCCCTCTTCCGCCTCCTCCTTCCTCCTCCTCCTCTCCTCCTTCCTCTCCTCCTCTCCTCCTCCTCCTCCTCCTCTTCCTCCTCCTCCTCCTCTTCCTGCTCCTCCTCCTCGTAATTATCCTCCTCCTCCTGCGCTCGTACCACGGCGGACAGCTCCCTCATCCACTGCTACTACTACTGCAATTGCGGGGCCGGCCTTGCCCGCGTCGTAGAAGGTCATGAACGGCAACGTCAGGCGGAGGAGAAGGGGAAGGCACAGCAGCGGCAGACGCGGGAGCCTCGGGGGAGGGACGGACAGGAGCGGGGGGATGGCCAAAATGATGGGCCTCCTGAAAGCTGGACACGTGGGCGTCCCATGATCGGAACACTGACGCTCGAAGCTGGGGGAATACCGCAGTCACGTCGCTGACTGAGAGGGGAGGCTGGTAGTTCCGAGCCAAGGTGTATAGGTAAAATGAATTTATCATCCTCCTCCTCCTGCGTCTCCTCCTCCTCCTCCTCTTCCTTCTCCTCCTCCTCCTCCTCCTGCTCCTCATCTTCCTCCTCTTCCCTGCTCCTCTGTGCTCCTTCGCCTCGCTGCTGGATCCCCCCGCGCGGAGGACTTCGCGCTCGGCGGTCGAGGACACCGCGCTTGGAGGCCTCCCCGACGGGGTCCGAGCAGAGGGGGTCGGAGGATCGCGCCGCATCGCCGATGCATCGGCGATGCATCGGCGATGCGTCGGCGGTGCATCGGCGACGCCGGCGATGCATCGGCGAAGCCACGGTGGAGGAGATCGGGCTCTTCGTCGAGCCGCGTCGGCGATGCATCGGCGATGCGTCGGCGATCCTCCGACCCACTCTGGGAGTCCCGGCGTGCTCGTGCCGTGGCAAGGAGAATGCGACGGGCAAGGCTTTGACCACCGTCGGCCTCCGGGGGTGCTTTCCTTCGGCCACCGTCGACTACACGCAAGAGTGACCCCGGGTACGAGTGACCTCTGGTGCGCGGCATTTGGGGGCCGCGGGGGACCGAACAGAAGCGCGCAAGACGCTGATTAGTTACTACCGCATCGCGTTCGGCGATCGGGGAACCCTTCTGGGCCCGCACCAGAGGTCACTCCAGCGCAAGGTCACTCTTACGTGGAGCCGACACAGGGGGCTGCCCAGGACGGCTTGGGGTGACACCCCAGCCTTGGGGAACGGGTCGGGACTCCCTGGGACCCCACGTCGACAAACAGCAAGGCATCGCACGTCCGTCCAGCTGTGGCACAGGTTCGATGAGGAGGAGGAGGAGGAGGAGGAGGAGGAGGAGGAGGAGGAGGAGGGAGGAGGAGGGAGGAGGATGAAGAGGAGGATGAGGAGGAGGAGGAGGAGGAGGAGGAGTACTTATTCGCAGAGCACGGCGCACAGCAGCCAAAACGGAGGTTAGGCGGCCCCTCCAGTCGGTGTGTGGGCGGTTCCTCTGAGCGCCCTCACCGACAAACCCTGGGTCAGCCTGTTAAGGTAAATCCGCGAAGTCCTCGTTGGGGCGCGGCACGGGTTGAGGAGCTTTCCCTCCTCCCTGAAATGGTTCGTGCCCAGGCCACCGCACACCTCGCACGCCAAAATACGCTCCCGCCCGCCCCCCGCTCCCGACGTCGAACCACCTCAGGACGTGCGAAGGATGTGCGCGAAGACCCCGCCTGGAGGGCCCTACGGCTCGACCGAGGGCCGCGGGGCCTGGGCGGCAGGGCTGCTTCAGCCAATGGATCAACACCTTCGTTCCTTTGGAAACAGGTTCGGAACCGCACTCCAGGCAGCGCCAACGTCGCGGGTGGACGGCATGGCAGGTCTCGGCACGCGCGGCTGGGAGGTCAAGCAAAGGCTTCTGACCTCGGCCCGTCTCTGCGGGACTCTCTGCACGGACGTTTGGGGGGAAAGAGGCCGTAATGGCCAATATTCGCTTTCGAATGGGCTGGCTTCCTCCTCGAGCTCTAAAAGGGACTGGGCCTGGCCGCTGGAGACCTGAGCGGGGGGGGTCCAAGAAGTGGTCGTCCAGACCATCCGCGGCCTCGTTGACAGCCGAAAGGTTAAGAAGCTCACCACTCGCAGTCGAAAGGTTAAGAAGCTCACGACTCAAGACGAGTCGCAGACGGAGGAAGAGGAGGAGGAGGAGGAGGAGGAGGAGGAGGAGGAGGAGGAGGAGGAGGGGGAGGAGGGGGAGGAGGAGGAGGAGGAGGAGGAGGAGGAGGAGGAGGAGGAGGAGGAGGAGGAGGAGGGGGGGGATGAGCAGGAATGTGCTTCTGCAGGCACAGGAGGGGGGGGATGCAACTCCCCCTCTGAAGAGCCTGTGGGTCCGGGCCGCTCCCCGGGCCAACGCTCGCCTCGCCGTCAGCCCCGAGGGTCGCGCGCTGGGGTCGTTTCAAACACGCCAGGGGGGCGCAGGCGCGTGGTAGGGTTAGGTCGGGCATTTCCTCCTACAGGCGGGTGCGGGAGGAACAAATAAAAAACATATTAGACACATGTTCGAAACAGTAAACAAATAATGATGGTCCCGTGGAATTTGCTTTTACTATTTTTGAATATTTCTCCTGTAGAGGGACGCGCCCGATTGAATCGCAGCTCGTGGGAAGCCTCTCGTGGGAACACGCTCGGGGCTATTCGGAGAGGCCCGATCCTGGGGGCCACGAAGCCGGACGCGGCCAGATTGGGCCCAGGATAGACAGCCATATTTCATTGCACTACGCCAGACTCAGTGGGATTACGTGTCCGTCAGAAGAAATAGGTCAACCATTAAGTAGGAAGGCGGAAAAAGTAGATAGGGTTCAGGCCCTCCCAGAGAATGGCAAAACACATCAGAAGCATATCGATTATCACAGTAGCAAGGCGCTTGAAGTAGATTGACATCTTGGCATCCAAAAATCCCTGCTTTCAACGACTGGCGTGTATGACGGCTTAAAGACCACGGGTAACCAGAGCCGATGCTGATCTTAAACTGAATGCCGAGAATTGCAACCGAGCCTCGGTGGTTCTGAAGCGGTCTTCGAAGGGGGGGGGGCCTTGCATGGGCTCTCGAGTGAGGGCCTCGGTGGGTGTTTGTTGGGTTGGGTCTCGAGTAGATGGTCGAATTTGATTGCGTTCGGTGATCATGACGTGGGTGTTCTATGCGCTTTCGGAGGTGATCGACGGTTTCCGATCGAATTGGATCGACGGTGTTCTACGAATTTGTTTCAAATTTTTATCGGCAGTATTCACGTGGCACTGTTTCGATTACTTTCAGACATTAAGATGATATGTAGCTACGTTCAGGAAAAGCTTGAAGATGTTCCATACTTTATGACGCTGTTCAACTCTTGTCGCAGGTTCTCGTCTCTGACGGCCCCTCCATGTCTTCGAGGCCCCTGGGCGGTCTCTCCGTTCGCTGCGCCTCGTCGCACCTTCCAGGGCGGCTGGCATTGGCCGCGACGGCAGCCCGAGGCCCGAGCTACGCAGGGCCAGCAAAGACAACTACAGTCATCGGTCTGACCTAAGGAACGATAAATAAGGAACGAAGCCCCTTTTTTATCTCAAGGAATAACGAACGCATAGGGAACGATGAACCAATACTACATAACGCATAGGGAACGATAAATAACGCATGCAAGCCTAAGGAACGACCGAACCCTTTTTGAAAAGTAAGCGTTCCTTATTCAAGCCGCTCACTGTAGGGGTGTGTGTGAAGATGTGCTCCGCTTTTTCGACGGCTACCTTTTGGGGCCCTCGCCGTGCGCCAGGGCAGGAGGGCCCCACACCGCCACAGGAGATGCGCGCGGACCTCCGCAGACCCGTGGCCGTGCCGTCTTTTTTTCCGAGACGGGGCGCCCGCGCCCCAAAGGACTCGGACGGGCCTGGACTGCGCCGACGCGCGAGACCGGACCGGGCCAGCAACGGACCAGGTCGCCAGCCCCAGGAAGCGGATCGAACTCGGACCGCCGCGCTGGCCGGCCCCGGCCGATGCCAGACGAGGACCGAAGCTGACCGGGTCGAATCGGAACCGCCGGCCCGGTCAGCGGATCGAATCGCATCTGAGCATCGTTTGATCTACACCTATGCCCACTGGCGTGGCATGGGCGCCACTGGCCAATCTACGCCCCTAGATGTTGATATGCGCTGTTCCCTTCGAGCTTCGAGGGGCATATCCCGAACTGGGGTGGTGGGGAAGTGGGGATGGGGATGGGGATAGGGATCGGTCAAAAGGATACTTTTCGCCGAGGTGCGCGAACGCAGGTGGGGGTTGGTTAATGGCTCAGCTTGGCCCTGGCACACACACAAACACACACACACAGACATGCCCACACGCCCACACGCCCACACGCAGCCACGCAGCCACGCGCAGGCACGCAAGCACGCAGGCACGCACTTACGCACTTACGCACTTAAGCACTTACGCACCCACGCACGCACTTACACACGAACCCACGCCCCCACGCACCCACCCACCCACCCACGCACGCTCGCTCGCACGCACCCACGCACCCAGGCACCCACGCACACCCACACACAGACACCGACACACACAGGCACAGACACAGGCACAGGCACACACACAGACACAGGCACAGACACACAGACACACAGACACACAGACACAGACAGAGACACACACACAACAGATACACATTGACACACACACAGGCACACACAGACACACACACACACACACATTGACACACACACACACACACACACATAGACGCACATGCAGACACACACACACACACACGGGAACACGCACAGACATACACAGAGACACACGGACACACACACACACGGATACACAGACAGACACACACAGACAAACACACACACAGACACACACAGACAAACACGCACACAGACATACACACACAGACACACACACAGACACATACACAGACAAACACACACAGACACAAACACACAGGCACGCCTCGAGCACGAACAGTTCCCCCAGCCCAGATCTGAGGAACGGCCCAAAATACTGAGCCGCCCCTCCTGAACCCAAAGCCTCCCCGACCTCAGCGGCTCGCCTGTCATCTGCTCCGCCGTGGGGGGGGGGGTCGCTCGATCCGCGGCGGCCAGAACGCCCACGCCTCCGCGGCAGACCCTGGGGGCATGACCTGTCGATCCCCCTGGGACCGGCGCCCGCCGCCCCCCATCTGCGGAACACTCCACCTTGCGCACGGCATACGCTCCACGTCCGCCGGGCGAGCCGCCCCACGCGCGACCCCAGAAATCCGACGGCGCGCTTCTTCCCGCAGCACGCGTGCCGAGAGCTCGACCTCTTCCCCAGGGGGGCTGATGCGCCTCCCGCAAGGGGCGCAGGCGGAAGGGACTTCTGACACCGCGGCATTGCATTCGAGACCTCCACCTCCTCCCCCTCCTCCTCCTCCTCCTCCTCCTCCTCCTCCTCCTCCTCCTCCTCGTCATCATCATCGCTCCCCTCTGCCGAGTCTTACTCCTCCTACCCCCTATCCGCGCTGCCTCCATGGCGCGCGAAACCGACGGACTTGAGATACCCCCCTCGCCCGTCTAAAAGATCCCTTTTCCCTCGGGTCCCGTCTGGAAACGCATGAAGGGGCACCTCTTCGTCCGGGATCCATCTGGGATCGATGGCCCCAGGGCCCGAAAACGGGCCCAGAGGGCCGATCTCACAAAAAAAGAGACGCGCCGCGACCGAAGCGGCACAGCGGCCAGAGGTGCAGGATCAATCAGCGCCGAGTCGGGGCAGACACGTCGGAGAACCTCGCTTCCTGACCCTCGCTCGATCCTCGATCCCAGGATCCGTCGGAAGCGGGACATCGGCTCGCATCGGCACGTGCGGCGGCTCGGGGCCGCAGCGGCACACAGACGGAATCGAAGCGGATCGGCCGCGCCAGGAAGTACAGCAGCACCACACGGACGCCGGGCCGCGTCGGACCGTCGAGACCTCGGCATCGGGTCGCACGGGCTCGCCGGAGCCGGCAGCACATCGGACTCATCGGACCCCCATCGGATGGACCCTGCCCCCGAGGCGTGGGGGGTCTCAACGCTCGAGGGCCTCGTACTCGCAGCCCTCGCAGTTCAGGTACACCAGGTCTGGGGCGCGGCCCTCGCGGCGCTGCACCTCCGCCAGCGCCGCCTCCGCGTCCTCCAGCTGCACCTCCTCTGGGGGGGGGGGGGGGGCACCGTCCGGCGGGAGGAGCCCCTCGCCCCGCCGAGAGCGGCCTCTCGGCCCTGCTGGCCGACCTTGCCCGCCTCGGGTGGGGATGGTGTGCCTACCGTGGGAGCCCGTGCCAAGAAGCACCCTCTCGCCTCCAGGGTGGCCTGGGTTTCTTGGGTTTCGATGGTTTTGCGATAAAAAAGGGTGACGTTCCCACACCCAGCATCAATGGACGTCCTGGGGTCTCAGGGTTGGGTTTCTTGTGGAAGGTTTCTTGTGGATCGGCCCCCACTGTATTCCTTCACGTTTCGCGGGGCAAGTCCCCACCTTCATCGGGCGTTGGCAGAAATGCGTTTAGTGGGACCTGGTTTAGTGATGTGTACTGGGGGACGCCCCCCCCCGACCCGTTCCACTAACCGGAACTGCCGTCATCCGAAACAACACCAGCTACGGCAGACCTGGTTTAGTGATTCTGGCCAATTTAGGGGCTCCAGTACCCTGTTGCTAACCGGGTCCCCTCACCTGGGGTCCTGGCTATACCCGACTGCAGTGGAGGCCCGTCCACGAGAAACCTCCCACGAGAGACCCAACCCGGAGACCCCAGGACGTGTCCAGTGATTTGTGGTGTGTGTGTGCGCGTGTGTGTGTGTGTGTGTCACGCTCCCCAGACCCCCGACGTCATGATTTTTTCATGACGTCGATCCCCAGCGGTCTGGACCCATTCCCCGGGACCGGTTTTTCCTCCTGAGTCGTTTTTTGACGGCCCCGAGGGCCAGTAAAGGCCCCCAGATGCCGAAAATAGCGAAAAACCTGCCGTCATGATTTTTTCATCACTCGAGGGGGTCTGGGTCTCCAGAGCAAAACCATCGCAGCCCAAGAGACCCAGGGCACCCTAGAGGCAAGAGGGTGTCTCTTGGCATGGGCCTCCACCGCAGCGGGGCAGGCCGGTGGGGCCGCGGTGCCCTGGCCCGGCGAGGAGGGGGGTCAGTCAGACGATGCTTACCTGAGGGGCCACAAGCTCCAACTCCTCCTCCTCCTCTTCCTCCTCCTCCTCCTCCTCCTCCTCCTCCTCCTCCTCCTCTTCCTCCTCCTCCTCCTCCTCCTCCTCCTCCTCCCCCTCCTCCTCCTCCTCGTCCTCCTCCTCCTCCTGATCCTCCTCCTCCTCCTCCTCCTTAGACGACCCACCAACAGCTCCAACTCACTCGTGCCGGCCAGTGGCATCTATCTGAACGCAGAGGGCACCCACATACCGGGACGGTGCAGACGCCCAGCAAGGGCCATGCTGGGCCCTGGGATGGTGCAGACGCCCTCCTGGCCGAGGCCAGGACGGGTCCGTACACCATCCTAGGGCCCGGTCTGGCTCTGGTCACGCGTGGTGGTTTACAACTGCCTTCTGCGGATAACAAGGGGAGTTGCGGTCCCTATCCCCCTGGAGAACCCATCGCATCGGCCATCTCTCGAGAGTGGTGCCAAAGCCGAGTGGCCTGCGTGGGGGGAGGGGTAAGGGCCACAACTCCCTCTGCTGTGGCTGGCCTGTGGTGGGCACCCGCGTCGAGGCAGCTTCCCCGCAGACCCAGCAAGATCATCCCCCCTGAAGCGGAGCGTCACAACCTCGCTCCTATAGGGAGCCCGGAAACGCCACACACGCACAAGCACGCGCACCCCACTTCGCGAGACCGCCTTCGAGCCACGAACGCTCGCGCAACGTGTTCACGTGTTCTACATGAGTTGATCTGCTCGCACGTATCTGCTTCGCTCCTGGTTTTTGAATGTGCCTGTTTTTGAATGTGCCTCCTGTAGAGGGGCACGCCCGACTTAACGATAGGCCCTCGACTGCGACACCGCAGGTCCTGGGCGGGCTGGGCACGTCAGGCCCTCGAGCGGCGACGCGTGGGCGAATGTGTGGGTCGGCCCAGACCTGCGACGTCTTGGTCCAGGTGAGTGCCGGGCCCCCCCCAGAGCCCGACCCTCTCCCTGGCCATCGCTCGGACGTCCATTTCCTGTGCTTTTTCAGGTTTCGTGTGGTTTTTTCGCCAGATGATCAAGGATGCTCCTCGATGGTCCCCGCCGAAGGAAAAACGCACATGTCCGAGCGATGCCAAGCTCCCCGGGGCCGACCTGTCATCTCGCATCGCTCTTTGACGGCCGCTGGCAGGGGCCGACACCAGCCGGACTCCTCCCGTCGCGACTTCCGTGACGACGCGGGCATGGCTGGGGATGCGTCGCCCCTGGAGCGTCGGGCACGTCCTCTGACAAGCGGATTCTGGAAGAGAAACGAAAAGTAGTCCAACAATATTCCAACATAGTCCAAAAGAGTAGGAACATCGTCCCTTGTTTTGACTATCTTTGGATTTTCCTCCTGTAGGGGGACATGCCCGACTCAAGAAGAAGCATGGGAACGTCACCTCCCGACGGAGGTCCGCGCCCGTGGGTCGGGGAGGTCTGGTTTTGTTGGCGGCGGGTGCCGACTGGGCCGACTGTGGCCAACGCCGCGCGACCATGTCTGTGCCCGCCATGGGGGTCGATTATTGGAGCTGTCGCTGTAGGTGGCGCACCCCCCCCCCGCTGATTACGTACCATACTAGAGGCCTCCCAGATGGGTTCCGAGTAGATGGGGTCGGATGATCTCGCCGCATCACCGATGCGTCGGCGATGTATCGGCGATGCATCGGCGATGCGCTGGCGACGTCGGCGATGCATCGGCGACGTCGGCATGCAGAAACACGGTCTCCACATCGAACCGCATCGCCGATGCATCGGCGATGCTGCTCGGTGCTGACAGACGGCATACACATACACTTTTGGCGCTCCGCGCGGACTGTTGAATCCACGCTAGCGCCCCCCCCCTTGCCTGGCGCGCCTCCGGCGCCAGCGGCGGCGCCGGAGGCGCTGCTGGGGGGGGAGCCCCAGCGCGGATGCAGGAAAGCCGCGGCGCGCCGAACAGTTTTTGTTTGCGGCGTTGGAAACACACACACACACACACACACACGCACGCACGCACGCACGCACGCACGCACGCACGCACGCACGCACGCACGCACGC